CTCTCAGAAAAATGATAGGTATCTGAAAGCTTGTAAAACACATAATAAAGAGGGCCAACAGCTTTGAAAATGTCTACTAACCACTTCCATACAGCCTGATTGAGCACAAGCCTAAAAATGTTGGCATATTTGGAAAAAGCTGATATTTAAGTTGTTTTAAGTGTAGTAACAATCAGAAAACATGTACTTTCACAAGAGAAAAAGTAAAATGATGTCTAGAGCAAAGTTTTGTTCTATGCAGATGCCTACATTCATCCTTTTCTTATTAAATCCTCAAACATTTTCTTTCAAAACTTCATGCCGATTAAGAGTGCATTGTTACAGTAGGGTTTTTTTCTTGCTAAGCAAACTGGTGAAAATGTGATACATTTCTTTCCCACACGTCCTCAGTAGCAAGACTTAGTTTATCAGTCCTATTTACCTGCCACAGCTTCAAAGCCAACTGATAGAATTACCCACTATACAAAATATTTCTTATAAAACTGCAGCCTCCTTGACTGTCATCTCCTGCTCATATTCTGGTTACTGGTTTTCATGTCTGATGTGTTTAATTCTTGGTTAGTTTTCATACTGTTCTGTGGATCTTCTCATGTTCCCTGGAGATGCTTTCCTGACCATCCCTGAGAAGGAGGTGGTTATCCCACGTACCATACCTTCAAACAGGGCTGCAGGCCACTCTAGCTTCTTTGCTCCCTCTTTGGAGGGAGTCTTCAGCAGCTCTGAGTGTGACTGTGCTCACTGATCATTTTGTTAACCCCAAGTTTTATGATTAATCACTGTTCCATTTTACCCATACCATTTAGGGACTACTCTGTTATCTTTCACAAGCAGAAGTACTCAAAGAAATAGCTTTGTTTTGTCCCAGTTGCTGTGTTTTCTCCAGTGGTGAGAGCTGTTGCTGCTACCTATCTTTTGCTGTACCATTGCATTGATCATAGCTCCACAGAGGCAGTCAGCGAGGCATGGCAAACAGCTCACAGCTGGTCCATCTAACCAGAGCAAAATTTACAAACAAATTTGTGCATGATTTCCTTGCCTTCCAGACAGAGGATTATCAATGGCCTGTCAATCTGAAACACCAAGGAACATGTTTTAATTAAAGCACAGGTGAAAAATATTCATTTTTATGTATATATATATATATATTCAATTATAGATATCATTAACAGTAATGGTAACATTTCAAGCAGGCTTCCCTACATACAACTTTTTAATTAGATGCAGAACTTGCTATGGTGAAAGCACTTTATTTGCTCACATAGTGACCACCACGCAATGACATCTCACTCCAAACCGTTAATCTGAGTTTTCAATATCATGCTTTTTGATGATATTCCAATGCTTGGTCAAATTTGGCCATTTTAAATTGGAAGTCTTATCCACATTGCCTTTCTGTATTGCCCTGTACTGGCCAGTTAGAACAGTCATGTCAATACAAGTCCAGATCCATATTCAGTTGCTACTGTGATAGCTTGTAAACTTTAAATCCACTGACAATTCTATAGGAGTTGTAAACAAAGTTTCAGGAATGCTTGACTGCTTGCTGGAATTGCTATACATGCTATCACTCAGAACTTCTCAAATTAGATTGAACAAATGACTAGTAATGTGATTTAGGGAAACATCTTTCAACATAAAAATTTCTTTGCATTGCTTAAACATATTATTTTCCTTTTTCTTGGCATTCAATATGTATGATTTATGATGATATCACGATATTTTTAATGAAAGCAATACTATTAACCTGAAAAATCTTGAGAAACTTTAAAGAAGGGTTACTATAATATTTTGCTCTTTGAAATATCATGTCAAACTTCCTGGCCAGCTGCTACATGAAGTGCTGTTTACCTCACTGCACCTGAATGGATAGTAGATCCCATGCTGTCATACGTAACCTTTTTCTATTGTTCAAAATTTAGTGGACATCAATAGGACTTTGAACAACTAGTGAGTATGGCAGACCCCACTGCCTATACCAAGATAATAAAGTTTGCCAGATGCTTTGGTGTCCTTCAAAGCAACAGAGCTGTCTGACTTCTTTTATAACAGGTGATTTGTTTCTACCATCATATATGTACCAGAACCGCCTTCTGACTTAGATACAAGCCTCCTGTTTCTGTCCAAGGTCAGGATTTTATCTGTGCTATGGCCCGAATAAAAACTGTGCCTGACTTTCTGTGGCCAGGGTGCCTGTCCTGGCCCAGGACCTCCTACCTCTTCATCTCCAGGAGCATGTCATTCAGATGTCTTAACTTTGCAACTAAGTTCAGCAGAAGGGATGAACTGCAATATTTGCATCAGAAGCTACTCACATTTAGTACTGGATGCAAACTATTTTCCCATGTCTAACATTTCCTGGTATGTATGTTACCACCAGGAGAGGGATGCCTTCACCCATCAGTTACTTTGTGAGATATAAATTATTTTATGGGAAAAAGTAGTTAAACAACACTTCTTAAAACATTTATTCTAAGTTATAACTATTGTGGGTTTATTGTGTGTCATTGGAGGAAAGGAGCAAGTTTGAATTCTCCATTGAAAACAAGAGAAAATAAACTGTTTTATAGATATGAACTGTAAACTTTTAAACATATCCTGCACTGTTAATAAGGGCAACCTTTCCATGGGGTCTGCACTACTTACAGGCTTATCACTGAGTGGTTCTGCTTGTTTTCACAGGCATGGAATGAAATGCCTTGGTTTTAATATTGCCTGTGCCTTGTTTTGAGGGGTTAAGTTGATGAACATGGCCTTACTGAACCATGTTGATGGTGTATTCAAAAAATAGGAAAGCAGGACATTGAAATCCTCCATAATTTTCTGCAATATCTGTGCTCTTGCCCTAGAAATAGTGATGAGATAGTGATCTCTTCTTGCTGTCACATCCTTCTTTGCAGTGCTGTTCTTTCTTTTCTGGTATTTCTAGGAGCTCATTCTTCTTACCTGGTCTCCCTATTGTGTCAGCTTCCATGGACTGGCACAACAAACTGTTTCCCAGAGTTACAATGACAATAAGAGGGAAAAGATACTTTCCTAAACACCTGAATACATTTTCTGTGAAATCTTTTAAGTGACATGCAGCAGGTCACACCTGAAGGGTGGTCAGTTCAAAGCTGCAGGTTCAGTGAGTGACCTCCAAGAAGTTTGCTGGAGATTGTTGTAATGTCTTAATAGGAGAGCAGTATAATGGATGTTGCAAAACATGCTAGGAGAAAAGGGAGGGGCTGCTGATGTTCAAGATGAAGAATAAAGTTATGTGAGGCATGTGCAAGGATGGTGGGTTAATTGGAAAGAGTACAGAGGGCTGAACCAGAGAAACAGAAAAAGGTCCCAGGGTGTGGGTAGGGAGAACTGGGGTAAATTAGAACAAAATGAGAAAAGAAGCACAGAAACAGAAACATACAAGTCAAATTGTGTAGGGAAAAAAAAAAAAAAAAAAAAAGAAGAGGGGCCAGCACCAGAGGACAGCCTGTCGGAAATCTAATGGATAACAACAGCAAAGACATTGGGGCAGGCAGCATATGAGGCAAGAAGAGTGGGAGAGAGGCGACCAGTGAGACTGGCTCTCAGAGAGGATCTCCTCCATCCCTCAAGTGACAGGAAAAAAACAGTCTTCTGCTGGAACAAGAAATTTTCATAGTTCAGTGGCTCAGACCTGTAGCAACCAGATCTGCTGTACCCAGCATGAGGAAAGCAATACTGTATTCTGTACAGGGCAACAGGAAAAGTTCTCTCTCTCAATTAACAAATAAATTAGCAAGAGAAATAACCTTTAGTATTAGGTTATTGAGGTGAATTTGCTTTAATTCTAATGACAAAACGGACTGCAATACCTAATCCAATGCCTCAATTCTGCAAACAGAGCTGTTTGGAGTTGAGGGTGGCTGTTGTGTGGACTGTAAGTCCAAGGATATTGACTTGGGTTCAAAACAATGTGGGGGGTTGTGTCTGTTGGTTAGAAGTGAATTACAAAAAAAAAAGGAGAGGAACCTGCTTGTAATCCACATTACAAAGTGTCTGAGACAGTGGTACACAAGAGCCACTGTTCTGGCTTCTGCTCCCGTTGGTACGTGGCTCACAGTGATTTCAAAAAGGAGCTGCAACTGAGAAAAATCAACAGGCAAGTTTTACAAGGTGGCAAAGGTTGCATTTTGCAATCTGGCTGGCAATCCGGCCCCAACTGGCAAACCCTTCAAGTATGTGTTTAACTGGGAAGACGGGATTAATCCTATTGATTGTAACGGGGTTAACTACATAGGTACAGCGCAGTGATGTTTATAGCCTCAACAGGAACTACGCAGAGAAGTGAGGCTCTAAACGAGGACTATTTATTAGAAACCCACTTTGGTCGTGCTTTTATGTACCAAAGATTTTTCTGACTCGATCTTTTAACATGTAGATTTCTCTCAAGAGCCGCTCCGTTCTAACCACAACACTTTGCGCATCTCAAGCAGTGACCCTCCATTTTCCCATCCTCTCTCTTGCCATGGTGGTGAAAAACGTAAGAATATCTGTGGGTTTAGTGGGTTTTTTTCTCCTTTTCCGGCCAGTGCGCGGGGAGGCCTCTTCTCCAGCTCGACGGTCGCCTTCGATGGCGGGGCTTTCTGCAACCCCGAGCCACCGCCCTGCGCTCAGCCTCGGCCGGGAGAGCCCAGGGGTAGTTCGGTCCCGGCAGTGCCGCCTATCCGGGCAGCGCCGTGATCGCTCATCCCCGAGGGGTACTCGGCATCCATCATCACCCGTCCAGCATCGCCGCTCAGCCGCGACTCCCGTCACGTCCCCTCTCGGGCTTTAGGAGGGGCTGCTCGGCTGCTCGGCTGCTTGCCGAGGCAGTCGGGACGGGGGCAGCCCACCCCCCCGGAGCAGCGCTCCGTGGAGACGCTTTCCCGGCACCGCGTGGGAACCCATCTCCCCTGGCCCGGCGCGTCCCGCCCTCGGGCGCGCTCACTCCCCCGCCCCGTAAGTAGCGGCGGCAGCGGCCGTCGGGGCGCAGAGCGGGGATGGGGGCCCGCGGTGCCGGGCTGTACGTGGGGCGCAGGGCGGCCGCCCTTGGGGCCGCGCTGTTGCTGGCGCTCCTGGCCGCACTGCTGGCGCTCGCCGCTCTCTACGGGCGCTGCCGGCAGGAGGAGGCACCGCCGCCGCCCTCGCCCGCCGCCACCGGCACCCCCGCCCCGCCACCGGCTCCCACCGCCGGCCCCGTCCGCCGCCTACCCCGCCACCTCCTGCCGCTCCGCTACGAGCTGGAGCTGTGGCCGCGGGTGCGGCCGGGCCAAGCCGGGCCATTCTCCTTCAGAGGGCAGGTGAACATCACGGTGCTGTGCCGGCAGGACACGGACGCGGCGGTGCTGCACAGCGCCGGGCTCCGGAGCCGCGGGGCCGCCGTGCGCGGGCCCCTGCCCGGGCTGGGCGCCGCCGTGGAGGTGGCGGGGCTGCGGCAGGAGGAGGAGGACGAGGTGGCGGTGCTGGAGCTGCGCGGGTGGCTGCGGGCCGGGAGCCGCTACGTCCTGCAGCTTGGCTTCCAGGGCCTCCTGGAGGAGGACCTGGTCGGGCTGTTCCTCACCCGCTACACCGACCAGGGACGGAGCAGGTAGGCGGCGGCGGCCGCCCCGCGGACTCCGCGCCCCTTCACCGCGGCAGCGGAGCTCCCACGGTCCCGCGTCGAGGCCGCCCGTGGCATGGAGGCTGCGGGACGCGGCTGCAGGAGCTGTCACAGAGCTGGCGCCGAGCTGGGCGGCACCGGGGCGAGCTGCGAGCTGCCCGGGCGCAGGAGAGGCGGCCGCTTCTCGCCCCTCCCCGGGACCGCATCGCGGGATGCAAAAAGCGTGCCAGAAACTCCGGTCTGTGCTCCGGGATGGTCGCTCTCCTCTCCGGAGAGCCTTGGCCGTGCTGCCCTGTCTCTCCGACGGCAGCTGACTTCACCCGTAGCACCGGCTGGACAATTTCTGGTCTCGCTTTCAGTGCCTTTGGCAGCGAGGGGGGCAGACAGTTCCTATGCCCAATTCCCGGGAGCCGCAGTCCGTCTCAGAAACTTCATCCCGGCCTCACACGTCTGTGTAACACCGACAACTCCTCATTTCCTCAACCTGTATCTGTGAGGAGGACGTCTTTGTCAAGAATCCGGGATTTTGGCTATGTATTTGGGCATGAGTTCAGAGACGCCGATCACATGCGGTTTCAGAAATAAGGGGGAGTAGGATGAGTGACTGCTTTAGACATCTATACTTTGTAGGTGCTATTCACGTGAAGTTGTTTGGCTGTCATCAGACAATCCATGATTTCCGTAGGGAGTGCTATTAGGATGCTTTCTTTTTCTTTCGAACTGCAAAACTGGTGATGGAGCTGTGTGAGCTAATCAAGCAGTCAAAGGTCTAAAACATATTTTCACCCTCAAAATGATGCTTGCTTATCTTTTTTTTTTTTTTTTTTTTTTAATTTTGGATCTTCCCAACGTGAATTGCATTCTCAACTTCTGGGCACGAAACTTGCTGAGAGAAGTGAAATTTAAGATCAGAATTTAAGTACTTCTAGTGGCAGGCAAGTTTCTCAAAATAGGAATTTGAAGAAGAGACAGACAAATTGCTCGTTTTAAAGTTATTTCATTTTTAATAATTAAAGCACTAAACAGTGAGTCAAAAGGAAAACTGGAGTTAAATTCAAGTATTCTTGTCTACTACCCTATCAATGAGTCTACTAAAATGTGTGGGTTCATAGGCTTCTTGGTTGATTGGGTAATGTAATAAAATATGCAGTTACTTTCAAGATCCATACATGCAAGCCTCTATATGAGTAGTTGTAATACGAAACCACAAAATGAAGTTGATAATTTTTTTGAAATGGAGGAAGACTGTGTGGCTTTTCTGCAACAAGCTGGCTTTTCAGCTGCCAGCTCTTGTATAAATCTCCATACCGGAGTCTGCCACATCTGGAAAATGTAACTTAGATGGACTTTTTTTTTTTTTTTTTAACAAAAAGGAGATAAGTTGGTAAACCTTAGAGAAAAATGCAGTAAAGTAAAAAATATTTTAGGAAGCACATTCTGGTTTTCTCCAGTTGCTGTTTCTTCATTCACTGATTGTTATTCACAGGATTATTTGTGCAACTTTTGAAGAAAGGAGAATCTATAACAATTTGCTTAATTTACATAATTTTTAAAGAAAGGAACAAACCTTAATACTGTATCGGTATGCTTTCTGATGCTGTATTAATTCAAACAAGTCCTATGTAGGAAACAGAGAATTAGGCTATGACATTTTCTGATTCAGACTGTATAAAATTCAGAGTATCTGGGGGAAAAAAAGCTATTGTCAGCTGCCACAGTAGAAAATCAGAAAAAATTTTTAAAATAATTCAAATAATGTGTATAGCTCAATTTCCAGTTGTTTAGAGAGTTTATTACAAAGGTCCCATTTCATTCTTAGTTCATCATGAAGCACTAATGAAATGTGAGACTACACAGTCTGGTTAAAGAGATGACAGTGGTAGTTAGACAATGGAATAGATTAAAGGAAATCCACTGATGGCAGATATAATGTATAATTTTTGTTACTTGTTTGTGCTCCCATTTCTGATATTTTTGAATGGATTTTGCATATTTTTTCTGCTCTAAAAAAGGCTTTCTCTGAATCGAGAGTATACAATAGTATCTTGTTATTTTCCCTTCGCTAAGAATTAAGTCACCACTTAACCAGCCATTTCCTAATCTGATAGGGTCCACTAACACTGAAAGGTTTTGCATTCTTATTTTGGAGGAGATAGGTTTTGAGTGATATGTAAGCTCTGCCAAGCTATTAACAATGGAAAAAGTTGGATTCTAATGGATTGCATAGATCAGGAGTGATTTAAAAACGTTCAGTGCCCTTTGGCTATCAGTACAAAGCCAGTTACCCAGTTATTGTTCTGCAAGGAAACCTCCATCTCCAGCAGACTGTCCCATAGCTTTTCTAAAGTGACTTGTACCAGTCTTCAACAGACCTGCAGGGTCTGCTTCTTGCAGAGGTTTTCTGATTTCAACACCTCACTTGAACTGCCAGCTGTAACAGACAATGTGACATCTATCTGTGGTCATGCAGACTCCTGTATTTCTTGCATGCACTAGAAGTCTTAGTGGGTTTTGTAATTTGCGCTTGTGGAACCCTAGAGACCTCTCGTCTCAGAAGAGTTTAAGCAGATAAGTGCAAGCTTTTGGTAGACACCTTGATCCTAATGAGACGTGAAATCCCTGAAATGTTTGTTCCATCTGGACTTTGGCACTGTCATATTTCTCAGTCAGATATCCCCATTGCTCTTGGTAGACTGGCAGAATGAGCGAGTTGACGCAAAGTGTCATTCCCTCTCTTTTCTTGAAGTCAGAGCTGTTGTACACTGGCAAGGTGGTTTCACAGAAACAGCTATTTTCAGAAGTCCTAACCTGACCTCCATGGAAAACATAATAAACCAATTTCACTGAATTTTCAAGAAAGAAATTTTTAGTTGTCAGTTTGATCATTGATGACTGCATATGTTTTACTGTTGTTGACAATTTGTACTGCCCACCTGATCAGGTCTTCCACACAAAAGATAACTCTGAAAAATGGGAGCACTTGTTATGGATAATGAACAGCCCATGTCTGCACTGCTTGCAGGAGCAAAGGAAGTGAAAAGGAAAGATGCTCCCACTTCTCCAGCACTAAGTGTTTGAAGGCTCTCCTGTTGAAATGAGGAATCAGTATTCTGCATATAGCTGTGATAGTCCATACCAGGATCTGGGTAGGCAAAAAGATACAGAAACCACCTTTGCTCTCCTTCTCTAGCACTGCTGGCTCAAACTTACATGATGCAGGAGTTTTGTTTCTGTCGTTCTGCACAGAGATCTTGCACGGCTGTGGATGAGCTTGTGGGTGCTACTCCAGGATTAGAGGGTTCCTGTGGGGTGTACGATGAAGTGCAGGCTGTATGCAGGTCACTGTTCAGGTCAATGTTTCAAAATCCTTTGAGAATTTTACTTGGTAGCCACTCTGCTCATGTCCTGTGCAACTTCTATAAAATATTTGACTGGATAGGGCTGGTATTAACAGGCAGCCCAACACAATATCCAAACACAATGTTTGCACAGATTTTTATCAGTTGCTTCTGCACCAATTGCTAGGATGAGAGTAAAGGGGTTAGAACAGCACTAATATAGTTAATTTTGCCTCAGAGCAGAGGATATGCAGTTCTTCTTAGCTCTGTTTTCTATGACTCTGTGAGTAAGACCATCAAAGGAGTGAGACAGAAATCAGAACAAGTAAGATGTTTGGTGTTTCTTTGTGTTGCTTGTTAGTATCAAGCACTGTTCACCTGAAAAAAATGTTTGGATGTTGGGGACAAGATTCTACTCACTGTAAAACTCCCTTATTTTTAGCCTCTTCAGGGTTTGTTTTACAGTTTAATTATTTTATTTTTGTAAAAATGGAAGAAATTAAATATAAAAGATGCTAACACAAATACCAATTATGCTATCAGTATGAAAAATAACTCATGAGAAAGCATTTTTAGAATGTCTCCTTTATTGCATCAAATAAAACATTTCATCTACAATTATCCTGTTTATTAATCAGGTGAAATGTGATCTACTAGGCATTCATGTACTATGCAGAACGTGTTCCTCATTTTCCTTTTCTTTTTTCAGGCAGTAACTGAAAAAAAAAATAAGAACCTACATATACTACAATTTATGTGTAGTATAAATTGTCTAATATTTAGGCTAAGAGATCCTTTTATCTGTTTGTTTCTCATTATTTGAAAGTATCATGTGGTATTATATGATCCTCATGAAAAAAGAAAATGAAATCTATGTGCAAAACTGTAGACTTAAGGGAGGGAGTAATTTGTCTACTTGAGCATTGTTAGACTTTCTAAAAAAATTATTTCCTTTTGGGCAATTTGTTTTGTGATAATACTGCAGCGTGTTAAAAAAAGTGCTAGTGATTCAGTTCATGCTAATACCTTCACCTTGAAAAAAAACCCAACAAACAAACCAACCCACAAGAAAAAAAGCTCCAACTATTGTCTATTCTGACAAATTATATGAGGTAACATGTGTTTTAAACACCAGTTATTTGTGTAATATGCATGAAACATTCCTATTTTTCTTTTTTATCTGGAGTCCTGCTGAAAAACAACATTTAATATGTCCTCATACTTCTTTTTTATCACATTGCCTTGGCCACAATATGCTATTTTGTATTCTTGAACAAGAATTTCTTGAGGGCAAATTTGCCAAGTGTCTGCATCGGTTGCTGCCAGTACAGAGCTTTCAGAGGCAGTGATGGCACTGATGTGGGGGAATTCACAGTCATGGATTTACTCAGTGTTTCCTAGAACCAAGCTGCAATTGATTGCACAAAGGAATGAACAAAAGCATACTTTGCTCCACGGGAAGAAGAAGGTATTTTCAGTGATTGACTTCCTAGATGAAGTGGCCTATCACTATTGCTGCTCCTGTGCAACCCTGGCAGAAGTTTGTCACTTTCCATCATTGGACAGGATAAAGGAGAAGAGGTGCTACTTCTGTCTCAGGTGGAGCTTCAGCTGCATTTGGCAAGGCAGCTGGTGGCTGGTACAGCACAGATTTGACTCAGCAGGGAATCAGGTCCGTAAAGAAAATCTTCCCTTACCGACAGTCAAGAAGTCATATACAAAGTGCTGCTCCTTCTCACGCTATTCCTCACTTCAAAATAGGCATTGTGGTCTCAATAGTCACTGTGCAACAACATGCTCAATATGGGTTCTTTGGTCATGAGTTATGTTTATAGTACAGCATCAGATATGTCTGTTAAATGCAAAATGTTTTAAGAGTATAGTGCTTTTACACAGTCATCTTGTTGATATTAACTTAGTTCCCCCAACATCAGCAATGTGGATGTAGATGAGGCAATGACACTTTCAGCACTGGATTATTTGATCAACCTTGAGCAGAGTTAAATAGCACAGCTATTAAAAATGCTAGCACCTGAACATCTTTCAAAAGGAAAGGGGCCCTAGTAGGCCAGCCTTGGGATCTTGCTGGAAAGCACTTCTGACTTTGGTCAGTGAAAGCAGGAAGCTAATGGCTCAGTACCTTGGGTTAAATCACACACAATATAAGTGGTGCAAAGCGATCAAGTAAAAGTAAATATCAATGGAAAGCTGATCCATTAATTTCAATTTCCAAAAAAAGGGTATCCTGTAACAAGCAACCTTAAGTTTTGGACATGGTTCAGTGCTACAAGTCACAATTAGTCATAGTCATGCTGTGCTTGTAGGGTAGACCTGATTTGTTACTCCACTCTGTAGTGCAGATCTGACTCATTACATACTGCTACTTAATGTATGGATGCTATCTTGATGGCTCCTGGCTTGTTTGGGATGTCTCAGTGCTAAGAATAAGCATTTGTGAACCTGGTGTGGATACACTGTTAGGGAACACCTCAACTGCAGATGAAAAATATTTGCCGTGTCAGTATTGAGGTCACTGAAACAGGAGATTAGGCCATGCTTGTGTGCCCAGTTGCTGGCTATTACTTGGCTGACACATATAGAACTTTGAGGACCATTGCACGTGTATTTTTAATAATTCTTGATAAGGATGCCCTTACGTGAACAGCTCAGATGTACAACTTTTTGAAACTTCTGCTGTGAGACACAGTGATTTATCTTTTGATTCCAGCGAGTGTGTGTTGCAGGAGAAGAGTCAGAGATCACTCCAACAGATCTGTCCAAGTAGTTTATTAAGTTCTAATCAGTAAATTTAGGTGTACAGATGGATTGGTAGTCAGTGCTCTGCGCTAAAGTATACAAATATTATTGTGTAAGTTTCTTACACATATCTTAAATGTTGCATGCATGCAAATATGTCACCAACTCATCGATGTCTGGTGTCAGACAAAGGGTCTTTCAGCCTCAAGGGTAACCTTGAGAGGCATACCTCCTTGAGGGGAGATCACCACTCTGCAGACAGGTGCTATGGATGGAGAGCTCAACAGACTCTGATAGCTGCAGATATTTACAGTAAAGTGGTTGATTTGTAGTCAGTTTTTCTGCTACTGATACACTTTCCTCCACTTATCAATCCTGTCTCCATCCAGACCTGTGGTTTTGATTTGCTGCTGAATTCTTAATGGCAGTCTCACACAGTAGGATTAACTTTGGTCAGATCTACTTGGTGAACATCAGACTGGACCAAAGTTTACTTAGTTCAAATAGGATGAGTGCATCCATCACAATATGCCGCAGAGGCAACTGAGGCAAAGCTCCTTTGCATAAGGTACAAAAGGGTCCTTTTGAATATTATTCTGGTTTTGCCAGTGTACTGGGACAGTGTTGATGCTGTTTTCACAGGGGTTCTTCTCTATTGGATTTGACAGAAGGGTGCAAGTGCATGCATACACAGTTCACTAACAGTTATTACTATTTTTTATTAAAATATACCAGTAATTAATTAACAAGAATGCATGCATTAAGGAGAGCAGCAGGTGTACAGAGATATTCTAATTATGACAATAAAGTTGGGCATTGTATCTCTTGAGCACTGGTCTGCTGTGTGCAAAACTTCAATCAATTCTGTCTTAATAAACAAAGTAGGAAAGCTCAAATATTTAAAATATGATATCCGGAAAAGGCCTGTGAGGGGAAAAAAAAGATCTAATTAAAAAAGACTGCTTTTCTCCACAAGCATCCAAACTGAACTGGTTGTGGGGCACACAGACTTAGTCAAGGCTTTAAATAATAGGCAAAACTTTTCCAAATCTGCATATTTACATGATTCACTTTCTGGTTTTTCTGATTTGTTGTCTTTATGTGCTATATATGGATTTTGATGAGCTGTAGCATCCTGATTAATCTTACTTGTATTTTTAATACAGTATGCTCATTGCCTCCCAAATGGAACCAACGTATGCCAGGAGAGTGTACCCATGTTTTGATGAACCTGCCATGAAGGCCACATTCAATATCAGAATTGTCCATGACCCAAGCTATGTGGCTCTTTCCAACATGCCTGCTATTGGTAGGTAAACAGCAAGTCAACTTACGGGTTTTTTTCCCCTAAATTACTTTTTAAAAGGGTGCAATTTATCTGAACAGACTATGTCATCTGATACAGTGTATTGTCCACGTGCTAATGTTTTCAAAGGGCACACAAAATCTGTGTCTATGAACTTAAACATTTGGACACTGTTATTCATAATTAATGTCTCTGATGGCAATAATTCCATCAAATAGTTTTGTTAGTTGTGATGCGCTCTCCTCTGGCTGCTGCAGGCTGCATAGGGTTTGATTCCTGTTATTTACTGCTTAGTCAGTGTGTCTGTCTTGTGTGTGTCATCTTTTTAAAACCAAATGGCAACCTCAAGTATTCAAGGCCTGTATTTGTGACATCAAGGGATTCCTTTAATTCTGAGTAGATTTTAAGACATATTTACAACATACAAAAAATTGTTTTCCCAGGCAGAGACACTATAGCCTCCTGTGTATATGAAGAATTAGAAAAAGCGCACTATAAAGCTCTGGAGACGCTACTCCTGTCCCTTTCTGGGATCTCATGTGGGATGTTTGTGGGGTATAAGGTTCCAAACAAACTCTCTAAGTTAGTGTTCCTACAGAAATCTGTTGTGTCTTTTGCCTTCTTCTTAAAAGCTCTTTTTCTGCAGTTCAATGCCATGAATCTCTATTTTTCAACTAAATAATTTCAGCCATAAAAAGTAAGTTTTACGAGATTTGCATGGAAGATAAGTAACTAAGGAATATAGATGGGGTCTCTGTGAGAATTGCCGGAAGCATTTTCTACCCCTGAGAATCCTGTCCAAATCCCTCTTATTTAGAAGGAAGGTATCTGATTTAGTGTTTCATAATTCTTAGGCACACATGAATTTGAATTATAATAGATCAGATTTAGAGATATCAGTTTTAGAGATATGCAGCATGGAATAAAATGTCCACAGCTTGCTCACATATTAAAACTGACACAGTTTGATATCCTTCCAAGACTTCATTTAAGAAGCTCAAGAGTGGATTTTTGCTGTTTGCATGGAAGGTCACAACTCTGATACATGTCAGTAGCAACGAGTCTGGCTGCTTTCCTTCTATCAGAAACATATGAAGAATGTAGTGCAGGAATACAGCATATTGAAGAGAGGGGTAAAAAAACATGCAGAAAACATAAAATTCCTTGTTTATTATGGATGAGCATTGGTTTGAATATTTTTTGATTTTTTTTTTCCTAGATGTATCTGAAATGAAAGATGAAAATGGAAGCCTATGGACTGTTACCACATTTAACACTTCACTGAAAATGTCAACTTATTTGACTGCTTTTGTGGTCTGTGATTTTGATTATGTCACCAGAACGGAGCGGGGAAACAAGGTAAATATGAGGCTGCATAACACATTATAGCAGTTTACAACGGAAGTTGGCTCTGTGGTGCATCGTGCTTTAGAAGATACCACAGACATTAACTCTGTTTTCCATTCCAAAACTATTTGCTTATGTGGCAAAACTGCTAACATCCTGTGGATATTTCTGCAGAAACCTTTCCTTTAGGACAATTAGTTTATTGTCTTGTCCTTTTCATTTCATACAGCTGCAGAAGTAGGTATGGGCTGTGTATGTTAAAAATTTGGAGCAGCTACTCTGCAGAAAGTACTGGTCATAATTCAGGGTCTTCTTACTTTCTTAGCTGTCTTAGTTGGAAAATATATCTGTTTCCACTGCTGTGACAAAACACTGATGTTCGGTGCCTTGTTCTTCAAGACCCCTTGAGGACCACCACCATGACATCAGTAAGAGTAATACTCTGCTCCAAGCATTTTGTATACTAGTATTTTAACCTTTTATTTGGTAGTGGTCACATTTTTTTTAGCCTTCAGAAGTCTGTGTTTTGTGTTTGAAGCTTCTTCATCTGTGAGTATTCAGTTTTGCTCTTACTGTACAATGGCCAAAGCTTCTCGAGAGAAGCTGTAAAAAAATGTACTGCATTGGCACCAGTTGTTTCTCTTTCCTTCTTTTGGTCAAAGTCAACAGGGAAAAGATGTATCGAGTTGTTCCAAAATAAATAGTAAATTCAAGTATACAGCTATTAAAGGTAGCATTTACTTGATCTCCTTAATAAATGAGAAAACTGCATGGTTAGTTCACTGTCATGCTACTGGGGAAAGGTGGGACAACATGAGAGGACAGCGCACAGATCACCTAGGAAGCACAGTATTGGCTCTTTTTTAAAGTGAAGATTGGACTTGGTATGTCATATCTGTCACCTTCTGTCTTGAACCTGTTGGATGCTTACAGCTATGACTGTGGTGCCTTTTTCTTGGGCTGATGTGTACAGTAGTTAGCAAAGCAGAGCATTCAAATGAGCTTTTATTCAGAGAGAAGAGGCACCACCTGTGTTCTGTGACATAGAGGAAGACAGTATTTCACCCCTTGGTTTTAGATGCAGATACTCAGTCTATGCCTCCACAATATTTGTGTGAGCATATTCATTTGTGCCTATTTTTGACATTTCTGCTAAGTAATTTCCAACCTGAAACAGGGATATTGTAACTCAAATCTGATATGAGGATTAGCATTTTAAGATGTTTAGGTTTTGCAAATTAAGTGATCTGGTCTTTGAATCTCCTCTGAAGCCTTGGCTGAAAAGAGGGCCTCAGAGGTTGAGGACACTGCATTGGTTGAATATGCTCATTTTTTTTCCCTTATAAATTAAATCCCAATGCTTCCCAGCTGTGCTCTTAGCGTTTGGCTGTGCAGCTTCTTGTGAGACCATGTATAGCACTTAGATGCAAGAAATGTCGAGGTTTTGAGCTGATAGGCACGTGGAGGGGGTCTTTCATTCAGAAATATGTGGTGGAGACAAACCTTTTCTAAGCCTACTCCATCACTCTTGAGCAAGGAGTTGTCCTTTCCAGTACAAAACAAAAGGGTAGAGGAGGGGAAAGCTTTGCTTGCGGCCACGGTTTCTGTTACTCAGAGGTACAGATGTTCTCTGCTCAGATGCCATCTGCTCTCCTTAGCAGAGAGGGAGGCCAGCGGTCTGTTTCAGGCTGTGAGAAAGTTCAAGAGGAGAGATGTGTATCTTTGGACCGCAAACACTCTCTGGAAGTTCATTTCTCTCTCATTAGGTGGGCTGAAAGAGAGCTTGTCACCCAAACTCACTGGCTGGCATACATTGGCTTAAGATGTGTGATTCCAAATCGTTTCACAGTATTTTCCACTTAATAAAAGAAAAATTATGAGATTGTTTGTTCCAACAATGTATAGTTGGATTCAGATCTTCATCCCTTCAAAGTACCGGAACTTTCCTAGGTTTTACCAGGAGCATGTTCTTTGACACATTTTGTTAGGTCCAGTAAAACTTGGATTCTTTTAAAGATTAAATCAAAAGCTTCGTTGCATGGTTTGGTGTGGACAGACAGCATTTTTTCCAACAATGATTCACAAAAGAGAAACAAAGAGAATGAAAATATGAGGGTTGTTTAAAAGAACTCTCCCTTGTTTTATTGCAGATACGTATTTGGGCTCGGAAAGAAGCAATTGGAAATGGGTATCTTGACTATGCTTTAAGTATCATTGGTCCAATATTTTCGTTTCTGGAAGATGTACTTAACATCAGCTACCCTCTGCCAAAGACAGGTGAGATGACTTATTTTCTGAAAGGAACCACAAATGGCTGCTGCTGGTATAACATTCACAGAAGCAATGTGTTCTTTTGCAGTATTTTCCTTTTGCAGCTTACTACATTCTTTTACGGCTTACCATTGAATACACCACCTAAACTTTAACTCACTGAATTTTCCTTTCTGCATCATGGCTTTTATTAATCTGTAACTCAGTGTTCTTACTTTCACATCCTACTCATTCTTTTAAAGCATAATTTCCTAATAAAGGGGCAGTTGGGACAACAAAGTGGGTAGAAAGAAGTATTTCAGTCATGTGGCTATTTCTGGGATGCATAGACCATAACATGTAAGGATGTTGTAGTTCCTATGTCCTCCTAGTAAATCCATGCTTGCTCTAATAACATGTGTCCCCCACAAAGCATTCCTTGCTTTTTTCAGTATGTCCCTGTCTTACCTGTGAGTTGGGTGTATGTTCCTCCCGCACATTCCTCCCCAGAAAAAAATTCTCCTGCAGAAAAACATTGTTTCTGCTTAAAACGGACAACAGATAAGTCAGTTAAGTCAAGTTTCAGTCAAGAAAGAAGGATGCCATCATGTAATTTCACTGTACAGTTTGTTTGTTACTTGCACTTGGATTCCCAAGCATTTCAGCATTAATATTATGGGGAAATGGGCTCTTTTATAGATATTAGGAGAATATTGGGAGCACAGAAAGCAATTCTTACTTGAAATGAGTTTTGAAACTGTCCATGATTTTAGCCGATTACAGGATTGTGGGGAAAGAATTTCCTTCTTTTCTTGACTGGGAAAGAATTTCCTTCTTTTCTTGACTGGATAATTTGCTGACTTGTCAAATCTGTATTTTGGCACTTGAAAGAAATAAATGTTAGTCTGTGTAAATGTATTATCTTCCAGTGTATTTCTATTAACTTGCAGAATTTTTCACTACCCTTCTTGTGAAAAATATATTATATGCAGTCTTCACTTCTTAATTTTTCTGATCTTAGTAATCATACAAGCTACTCAAGGGCTGTAGGTGATTTTGTTTCATGCTTGTGTTCTTTTGTTTATCAGCAATGTTGACACATTAATTAATTAATATAAAACTATTACAAAAATGAAGTAGAAGAACAGTATTGTAGACTTCCTGTTAGGAAGGATTTCAGTGTCACAGAAGGCTATAATACCATTACAGTCCTGACTAATGCCTTGCAATATCCAGTGGATTTCCCAGTGTCTTTCTTAGAAGTTTTGCCTAAAAATCAGTAGGATTAGATCAACCAAGAGTAGCTCATTGTAAATGCTAGAGATTTCTATTGCAAACTCAGAATGTGAAATTAAGAATAAACACATTTAAAATCAGGGATCTTTTAGGGTTTGTCTTCACCTCATTTTAAGGCAGTTATAAGGGAACTCTCTTGCCCCAAGCTGGCTGGATGAGGGCTGCCTCACCAAAAGTGAAGTACTTTTGCTGTAGACTCAAGGTGAGATGTAGCTGAGATCAGTCTGGCTGTGCTGGGGTTCAGCACCATGCTTTCATTACTTGTCTAGCTTTTGGACTGGAGCTTTCTCATAGTTCCCTGATTTGGAATAGTTTTCCATAATTTGGAATACAAGCTTGTGTCAACTTCTAAATGCTTGGTATACTTTTTCCAAATTTTGATCTTTGCTGCCAAGTTTAAACTGTTTAAACAGTCTCTTCCTTTGAGACCCTGATGTTTTGTCCAGCTCTCACATTTGAACTGGAAAACTGTTCTCTGTGCATAAGGCAGAAGGGCAGTACAGAGGTAACAGTCGTATTGTGTAAACAAAGAGATGATGTTTCTAAGGTGCCTTTCAAAGAAGAGTAGAAAGGATACCTCTACTCACACAGCTGAAAGAGCAAGATTTTTTTTATTATCCGTTGCTAGGCTGAAGAAAAAGGTAAGTATAATCTTACCCAAACATGGGAGAAATTCAAGTCAGAAAAAGATTTCTGACAGCCATCAGGGAATATATTCTCTCCTAGCCTTCATTTTCAGTCAGAACATTTGCATGTACAACATACAGCACAGATCTGGGCTTTGCAGGAATTTATGTGGCTTCCTGAAAGAATGGCAATCACAGGTGAAAGTGTGACAAGAAGAAACTTCAGAGACCACTGGCAAATTTTGGCATAATACCACAAAGAACCACTAAAATGTAGTATCCTTTAATTGGACGTTGAATCAGTGCGAGAACTAAAATCATGTGATCACTTTATTTTCAAAGTGTTAAAGATACCTTTTTTTTTTGTCTGTTTGAATCAATTTAGATCTGGTTGCACTGCCTGAGTTTGGAGCAGGTGGTATGGAAAACTGGGGGCTAGTGACTTTCCAAGAATCATCATTGATGTACCTCCCAAGTGATAAATTCACAAGCAGAAAGGCAATGATTGCCTTAATTGTGTCACATGAGCTAGGACACCAGGCATGTGGTAAAAAATTCTGTGCATTTATTTATCTATGACATTCTTTCCTTCCAGTTGCTGATGATGCAGTCACTGATTAGTAGAAGAAAATAATTACTTGATAGTAGGGGGTGCGAGTACTAGAGTACTGAAAGCCTATTTGATCATATGTTTCGCTGATAAAACAATATTAAAAGCAGGTTCTGTCATATTACAAGCTGTACACATTGCACAGGACTCACTGATGCAAAACTGTTAATGGGCTACTTGTTTTTTTCTTACACAGGACTTGAATACCACTCTAGGGTGTAGGGGTAACACAGTACTCTCTCTATACAGTATACTTTCTACTTTGGTGGGAGAATTAATGGAGTTCATCAGTATTTTTTGTAGTGGCAGTGCATGTGCATATTGCAAAAGGTATTTCTTTTTCTGTAAGAAAAAGCCTATGGTATGATAGAACAAAATTAACATGGAGCTGTAACTGTATCTTTGTCCAGCTTTCACAGAGATTTTCAAATTTTTTCTTACTTGATTTGGAATGATAATGCAGTTTCACTTCTTTATTGACTATTTTTAATTTACTGTTATTTGCCAGAGCAACAACTCTTTGCACTTGGTCAACAAAGCTAGCAAAAGAGTTTAGCTTGGCTAGTGCACTTGTATGCCTTTCTGACAAGGTCTGTAACTTTCCAGACCTTCAGATGAGCAGTATTTTTATTGCAGACCTATAAAATAAATGTCAATACTTAACAAAACTCTGTTTTAAAATAAAGTTGTAGTTCAGGTTTTTAAAAATTAGTAAATAAAATATAAATCAACAAGTGATCAGTTTTTGTTAAATATGAACTGCCAAATATGAGTACACAGCAGATGTTGTGGAAATTTTATACTTGCCAGGTTAGGGATTTGCTGTTTTTGGAAATGGTTATTTCCCCAGTTTTGTTTACCATTCCTCTGACAATTTCATTCTGTTAAGAACATGGAAAAATGTTTTTTTAATTGCTTGATAAATGCCTTACTTTTAATCATAGCCTGATATGATATTTTAGATATTTAAATTATATTGACAAGTGTTTGAAATGACATAAAGCACTGAGATCCACACTCCTGGTATGAAATTGTAGATGAAGCGATTTAAAAATAATTGCCCTGAATTTCTGACTTTTTCCAAGATACATGTTTTCCTACTGAATTTTCCCTATCTGAAGGAATATTCAGCAATTTATTCAATTTACATGTACACAATAAATAAAGTTACTTCATCATAAGTATGTGTACTTAATCTGCAAAAAAATGAGAAGAGAAGAGCAGACCAAGGACATTTTGAGATACTTTTTCTTTCTATTTAAGTGGTTTGGAAATCTGGTTACAATGAACTGGTGGAATGATCTGTGGCTTAATGAGGGACTGGCATCTTACTTTGAGTACCTGGGAGCTACCTTTGTTGACCCCAAGCTTTCACTGGTAAGTACTAATGCTTACATGCAAAGTTCCACCACATAACAAAGAAAAGGAAGACGCAGGAGATGGGATTTAATTAAACAATGTTATTATTAACTTAACTCCTGTAGGAAAGACCAGCAGGTCTTGATTCTTCCTTGATAGGTTTCCATCTGTTGGGGGGCCATGACCATACCCAGCTCTTCTACAGCTGGTGCAGAGGACAGGTGGACAGCTGTGATGCTGCAGTGACAAGGAGCTGGTGTTTTGCGCTAGATCTGTCATGTAGCAAACCCAGATTTCTCTCTTGGGTCCTGTTGCAGCTGATGGTTTGCCTCCCTGCCTGCCAAGCTCTTTTCCAAGTGTCCTGCACCTCAGGTATCTTTATGACACAGTAATTAAGGTGGTTTGTTTTGAGTCTGTTTACTCCGCTGGGTCCCTGGATGTCTGGTTGTGGATAAGGCAAATATAATGCACATAGCTAATCCAACAGCAGGGCAAAATTCCTTCCTGTTCTGCTCAAATGGGAATAAGCATAAATCCTGTAGTATATTAGAAAAATCCATGCATTGTTAAACTCTTGAGACAGGTGGACAGTTGCTGCTAATTGCAGTCATGACATGAGGTGCACTTGCCTGTGCAATCTTAAATGTCTATATAGTGCCCTCAGCTTCCGAAGAAAGAAAAAGCCTTTAATACCACTGAAAAGTGTAAAAGCCACCAGATTTTAAACTGGAAATAGATTCTTGACTTCTTTTTAATTTTAAACCTTTAATTTAGAGATTTGCCTTTCTAGAAATCAACAATTGACACTTGTGTCCATAAAGTAAACTTTTATATTGGGCAGTAATTCTATTTGATAAATTACAATTAGGTGATGTGCCTTGGAAATCCAGAGTAAATCACACAGATGTGAGAATACAGGTCTTTCTTGTGCAGTTTTGTGGGGCATATACATTCACAATTACAGAATGGCTGAGGTTAGAAGGGACCTCTGGAGGTCATCTTGTCCAACGCCCTTGCTCAAGCATGGCCACCCAAGAGCCAGTTGCCCAGGACCGTGTCCAGACAGCTTTTGAATATCTCCAAGGATGGAGACTCCATAACCTCTCATGGCAACCTGTGCAAGTGCTCGATCACCCTCACAATGAAAAAATGTTTTCTGATGTTCAGAGAGAACTTCCTGTGTTTCAGTGTATGCCCATTGCCTCTGGTCCTGTCACTGGAAAGGGCCTGGCTCTGTCCTCTGTGCAGCCTTCCTTCAAGTAGATATATACATTGATAAGATCCCTCTGACCCTCTCTTCCCCAGGCTGAACAGTTCTGGCTCTCTCCACCTTTCCTCATAAGAGAGATGCTCCAGTCCCTTCACCATCTTTGTGACATTTGCTAAGCTCTCTCTAGTAGCTCTATATCTTTTCTGTACTTGGGAGCCCAGAACTGGACCCAGCATTTCAGGTGTGTCCTCATCAGTGTTGAGCAGAGGGGAAGGATCATCTCTTTTAACCCACTGGCAGTATTACTTCTAATGCAGCCCTGGATACCATTAGCCTTTGCTGCAAGGGTACGTTGCTGGCTCATGTTCAACTTCAAATTGAACTCTGAAAATAAAATTTACTGCCTGTTTACAAGGAGAAAAGTTGGTCAACAAATTTGATGCCATTAATTGGAAGACTGTGATCTTCTCCTTGGAAAGGAGAAGTGCTCAAAGTGGCCTACAGTGTTTAAAAAAATTGGGTTTCTGTCTGTATCTTTGTAATTATGTCATTTTTCATTCTATCTTAAGACAGCTAGGGGAAACTGAATCATCATTTGACAAAAAGACAACTTCACTGATTTATCACAAAATCATAAAAGAGCTTGAATTTGAAAGTAACTTTAAGATTGTCTAATGCCAATGCTCCTGACATGGTCAGGGACACCTTCCACTAGTGCAGGTGGCTCAAAACCCCCTCCAACCTGGCCTTGAACAGTACCAGTGATGGGGTGTCCACAACTTCTCTGGACAACATGTTCCAGCCCCTCACCACCCTCACAGTAAAGAATTTTTCCCAAGATCTAATCTAAATCTCTCCTCCTTAATTTAAATTTTTTCCCTTTTCTCCTGTCATTCCTGTGTCAAAGGTCACTTTTCCTCTTTTTTATAAGTCCCCTTTAAGTACTGTAAGGCTGCAATGAGGTCTCCTGGAGGCTTCTCAGTACTGAATAATGTCAGCTCTCTCAGCCCGTCTTCATAGAAGAGATGTTCCAGCCCTCTGATCATCTTTGTGGTCCCACTCTGGACTTAGTCTAACAGGTCTATGTCCTTCCTGTGCCGAAGACCCCAGTGCTGGCGGCAGTACTTCGGGTGGGCTCTTACCAGAGCAGGGTAGAGGGGCAGAATTACTTCCCTTGACCTGCTGGCCACACTTGGACTGAGGCAGTCCAGTATGGGGTTTGTTTTCTGGGGTGCCAGTGACTCCTGTTGTCTCATTAAGCTTTTCATCCATGAGAACCCCCAAGTCCTTCTCCACATGACGGGTCTCAGTGGTTCTTCTCCTAGTCTGTAATCACATCTGGGATTGCCCTGACTCAGATGCAGCACCTTGCACTTGGTCTTGTTGAACTGCATTAGGTTCCCATGGGCCCACTTCTCAAGTTTGTTCAGGTCTCTGTGGATGGCATCCCATCCTTCTGTTGTGTTAACTGCACCATTCAGCTTTGTGCCATCAGCGGACTTACTGAGGTCACACTCAATTCCTTTGTCTGTGTCATTGATGAAGTTACTAAATAGCACTGGTCCCAAACCAGAGCCCTGAGGGACACCACTTGTCACTGATCTCCATTTGGACTGTGAGCTGTTGACCATGGTAGGTGGCATTTACTCCTGAGGAGCCATTTTCCCTCCATATTTCTCACTGGGTGACAGCAGAAATGCCTCATAACTCAGTAACTTAGTTTTTAGGTTGTTGCTTAGGGTTGCAGCAGGAGAAACATGGAATTTAGGAGGAAAGTGCTGCCATATTCGTGACATACAGATGTAAATGAGATACAGGCTTTCAGTTTTCAGTATTTGTTCAGCTGTTTAGTACAGTTGACTTATTTGTCATTGAGCATTACACTGTAACTGACTTTGTCAGGCCCAAGCCCATAGTACTCTCAGATGCAAAATTTTCTTTGATTACTGATGTTGCATGTGGGAAATGTTAGGATCGGGTATGTCATCCCTTGTACTTCATGAGAAAGTCAGAGAGTGGGGGAAAAGGATCATTCCTTGCTTATGGGCAAACGATTTGTAATAGTGCTAATTCCATGTTGTCTCCTGAGAATTAGTATCTTCTGATCAGCTCACTTAGATTTTTTCTTTTCTTGCAGGATAAAATCTTTTATGATCATGTTGTGCAACCTGTCTTAAGGGAAGACAGTGAAATAGTTCGATCACTGTCAGAGAGTGAAGACAAGATCAAAGGATCATTTTCTTTAACATCTCTGTTTGACAGCATCACATACAACAAGGTTAAAAAATATAAAATTCTTTCCATTTCTCCCAGATTCTAAATTAATAGTACAAAGTAGGTTTGAGAGGAACTGTTGAACAGAACTGGTTTGTCATTCAAAAGTCGTTTCTGCTGCACGCACAAATTTATTGGGTGTCGCAAATCTATTTGGCTACAAAGGAAATGGTGGAAGCATCTTTAACCTCTGTGAAATATGAAGTGTAGGAGTAGCCTGACTAACTTCTCTGAAATATAGTTTGAAAAAATATTTCAACAATAATTGCAATAATAATTCTTTTTTCTCATGCCTTTTTTTTTTTTTTTTTTTTTTTTTTTTTTTTTTTTTTTTTTTTTTTTTTTTTTTTTTTTTTTTTTTTTTTTTTTTTTTTGTACTTCAGGGAGCTTCTATAACCTGGATGCTTTCTGGTTTCCTGACTGAAAAGTTGTTCATCAGAGCACTTACTGTAAGTTTGAAAAGAAACCCCCTCATCTTGATTTATGAGCTTTCAAATGACAATTATACAAATTGCTGTTTGCCTTGCTGATGGTTTTCATTGAACCCTCATGAATTCTGATGCTTCTTTTTGTTTCTGCACAGTCATATCTGAAAGAATTTTCCTTCTCAAATGCTAATCAAGATGATCTCTGGACCCACATCCAGATGGTACTCATTTTATATCTCTAGTATTCTTTCTCTGGTGTTTGGCACAGTCCAAATTTGGGGTATATACTATTTGTAGAAGGCTGCATTAGAATGTGGCTATCCCTAGTGCAGTCTTTCTCTCACATGAAGTTTACTTTGCTGTTTTTTTCAGCTAATGTCCTCTCAAGTGCTTATTTGGCTGCTTTACTGCACCTGAGATCAGTGGAACTAAGTACAAGGAGTAGAGAGATGAGATGGGGAATCAACACCAGGCTGAGTTTTGAGTTCCATGGTGATTGCATAAGCCTACATGAAATTGCATAGCCTGTTGTTCTGGAGCTTAAGTTTTGTCAGATGAGAGTGTGTGATGTCTTGGGCTTGATGATCAGAGATGCTGATATGTCACAGATCCAGCAAAGTTTATACTCAGGGCAGCAGCTCAGCATTTCAGTCTTTGATGGTTTTCACAGAAATCTGATTAAGAACACAGATCCTAATAATAGGTTTATTTTTTTAAAAATCCACTTTCCTGTTCCTCTAAAGAAGGCTTCTATTGTGTTGCAGATGCAGGCTTAAGTTAAGAATGAGAGTCCTACAATTTCAGATGTGCAAGTTTGTCACATCTCTGAAGCCAGTGAAGACTGTATCAATTCACACTAGTTTGGACTCTAGTTCAGTATCTTTTTCAATTTGTCTTCACTATTCAATTTGTTCATTAGGACACTTAAAAATCTTTGTGTTCTGGCAGCTTATTTGAAAGAAATTAACAAATCAAGTCTGTCATAGCCATACAGGGGTTGTGAGTGTATTAACACTAAAAAGAGAAAAGTTAGCAGTCAGGTTATAGGATGAGAAATATCTCAGTATTTCATAATTCCTGAAAAAGGCTTATGCTGTCTTTATTATAATGTCAAAAATGTCCTCGGGACTTTGTTATGTTGATGTTTTGCATAAGCCAAAGACCATCAAACTGCTAAGCAGCTATTTTCTCTAATGTTAGAACAACTCCCAAAGTGTTGCTGAAGCAATGTCAATAAGTAGCTGTTTATCATAAATATTTCTCATTCCTCTTTCTCTTGCAGGTCATAGATGCACAGGATAAAGTTCAGTTACCAGCATCTGTAAAGCAAATAATGGATTCCTGGACATGCCAAAATGGGTTTCCAGTTTTAACATTAAATATAACCACTGGAACTATCAGACAGGAACAATTCCTTAATAAAAATAATAGAAGGAGTACTGATCCTAACAAGTATGTTTAGCTTGTGTTTTCCTTGTATGTTTATACCACGTTTTTTCAGGAAACTGTTCAGTTAGCACATTATGTTTTGATGATCTGATTTTTTTAACTTGTTGATTTACTTACTTGTTGATTTTTCACTTGTCATGAGCTGTTAAGTAAAATCTGTTTAAGACTGGAGCTTGCAATAGTTCAAACTCTGCTTGTTTTGCCAAAAAGGTGCTTTCCTCCGGAATAGTGACTTTTCCAGCTACATAAGAATAATGACGAACACAGATCCTGAATATGTTGCAGGCAGGATTTTTGCTCGGCATTTTCTTCTTTCCTCATCCCTCAGGTCTACAGACTGGGAATCTGGATGAACCATGCTGTAGCTTCTTTCCAGTGCACATGTTCCCAGTCTCTTCCTCCTGACAAGGATAAAAGGGTTGCGTTTAAATACTTTTATAATTGGCCTCTTTCTCAGAAAGCGCTGATAACTGATGTGTAGTTTAGAGCTCCTGTCAGTGAGCATTGCTGAGTGCCTTTTGAAAGCTGTGCTGCTTGTTTAGGTGTCTAAAAATGGTGATAGAAGGAGATACCTTTGGTGACCCACTTTGGAAACTCCTGGCCAGAGTTTGAACCTTCATGACATTCAGCAAATGACATGAGTATTGAGGTGCATGGATGGAGCCAATGAGATCATGTGGGGGAAAAGTGTAAAGGTACAAATAGGCAAATAAATTTTGACAAAAGCCACAGAATTTCCTTTGCTCCCAAGCTCCAGGAACTGCAGAGCATTAGTCCATCCAGTATTTTTGGTTATCTCAGATAAGAAATTCCAAGTTACAAATATGAAGTCCTTTACAGTTAGCAAGAGCAAATTACCAGGTGAATGTAAGAAAATTCAGGGTGTGTATTGTGGAATTTTTAAGGGTTTTGAAGCTTTCATCTGTTTCACCAGGAGCTTTACATTTCATCAGAAAAGAAATTAGAGTTGTTTGAATCACAGTTGTATTGCTTGCATGGGGCTTTGTTTTAGTAGATACCCTTCTGAAAAGCAGCTTTAAGTTCTCCAGAAACAGGATGAAGTGTAATAGGTGAGGAGAATTACTGCCTGAAGAGGGAAAGAGAGCAGAGAGAGACAATGGTATTCAAATACCTAGCATTCAACAATATTCTTGATACGAGTGCCTATTTAAAGCCATGCTAAAATTCCCTTATGATGAATCTAAATGCTGACCCAGCATTTAGTACTACCATCTGATGAGGTTTCATGCATCACAGAGGAGACAAGATAGATGGATATTCTTGTAACAAGGAACTAATTTGCAATGCCATTTAGCATGAGCTAAAAAGGGTTTTTTTAAGCATAAGATTTAATCTTATTGTATCTTTTTTTTTTTTGTTAAGTAACACATGGATTATTCCTATTTCTTGGATGAGAAATGGATCATCACAACCCTTAATGTGGCTAGATAAAAGCAGCAGTAAGTAATGTATTTGTTTATACACTCTAGAATCAAACTAACAAAACCACTCCAAACTCTTCTATAAACAGAGGACATATTTGAATTTAATAGGGAGATAAAACTTTAATACAGAAATGTTTATCCATTGTGATGATTTTGTGTTACGATAGCAGTAGATTTTCAATTAGGTCAATATAATGGGTTTTTTTCCTATGTTGCATCAAACTTCAATGTATGTTTTTAATAATATGGTACAACACATATTATGAGTAGAGATTTCCACAGAAATTTTGATTTTGTCATTTTTTTTTTACATAAATTCAAACTCCTAGGACCTCAGGCTTCTGCATTATTCTTACCCCAACAGATTCCATTGATGTTAATGCCAGGTTTTGAGTATAGATAGGATTTCAGCTGTGAAATAACAGAAAATTTTCAGCTCATGGAGTAGATACAAGACTGAAAAAATTAAAACCAGCTGTGGGAAGTGACTCAACATAATTGCACATGAATATCTGTAGCAACAGAAAATTAATATTTTTAACACTATTTAATTTAGTTTGTTTATGCAAATTAAATGAAAAAATACTCATCAAAAGAGTAGGATGTTAAAAAGTTTAAAAGTCTTATATTAGAAAAGTGAGTTTATGGGCATCTCCAATCAAATAAAAAATTTTGTTCTTTCCCAGCTCAGTGCTTTCCAATAAACAGATATATTTTTTATAGAAGAAAAGAAGAAATGTAATCTTTAGAATGGGGTAATCATATTCTTTGTCAAGTCAGCCTCAGACTCCTTCAGGTTTTAGATCAGTTACAAAGCGATGCAGAGACTAATGCACTGGAATGCTTAGGAAGAAAAACTACAATACACTATGTGTGTATTGCAGCTCTTCGCCCTCTGTTTGCAGTGTTTAAAACATAATTCCCTTCTTTTTCAGGTAAGAGGATAGCTTGAGTGTTCATTAATTTCATGGTATACAGACAAGTAAATAAGCAGAAAAAGGATGTGTACTCCTCTGAATACAGGATGAATCCTGCGGTACTTGCTTTGTCTAAACATTGAGGTCTCAGCCTTCTGTTCAGAATAAAGCAGTGCTGGGTCTAGACTACTCACCAGTATTGACTTACTGTCTTAAGAGAGTTTGTCTTCTCAAATCAGGACGACTGTAGCCTGTTAAACCAGCATTTGAATACTCTTCTGATGAGGCAGCTTAGACCCTTCAAGGCTTCACTGGCTCTTTCAAATGCAATATCAGGAGCACTCAATCGGACAAGAACATATGAATAGGTACGATGAAATGGACTGCAGAAGGAAGCCTTTAGTGAGTGATGTTACTCAAAAGGACTATGGGACTCTTTTATTTAAAATAAGCATTTTCAATTACTTATCTCTTGCTTAAACTTATCTGTTTTGATTTGGATGTCCATTTATGTGAATACTGGTAAGATCAGTTATTCTGTAAAGTATGGAGCACTGTGTTTTAGAGCAGCACTGGGAGCAACAGGTGTGCTGAGGGCGCATGCCCTACAGCAGGCATGAGAGGATATTGCTCCCATCCAGAGAGTTTATTCTTGGGTAAACTTTCTGAACTCTCACAGCTGCCTATGAGCTAAAGGGTAGGAGCAAAATGGGTCTTCAGCCTCCCCTTTGCAATCTCAAGGTGCTCAGTACCAGAGGAGTCAGTGGCTAGCTGAAGTTATTCCGCTGAGCAGAGCAGAGATCACAAATGCACTGAGCTTTCGAGGGGTTCTCTTTGAGTCCAGCCTCAAACTCCCACCTGAGATCTCAGAGGAGCATCAAGTCTAGTGTTTATAAATGCAAGACAATTTAGCGTGTAGAAAATAAAATTATATACTCTAATGTCACTTTACAGAAGTGTTTCCTGAAATGCAAGTATTGGAGTCAGAATATGACTGGATCCTGCTAAATGTAAATTTAAGTGGATACTACAGGGTGAACTATGACCAATTAAACTTGAAAAGATTAGCACACTTGCTTGAAAATGATCCAAAGGTAAGATCACGTTTGTTTTCTCAAGCTTATAAGAAGACTCTTTTCATGTATTTCTTCTTGCAGTTCTTACCCAGAATCACATTGGTGAAAATGGGGAATAATGGGAAACTCACATATTACATAAGAAGAAATGATCCACCACTGCACCACTAAAGTCACTGGCAGCCTTTTATAGAGAAGTGGACAGGCCTGAACAGTTTCACACAGGCATGAAAAATAACTTTACATCGCATTCTATCTTAAAAGTTGTCTTAACAACTTGTGGTTCTTCCAGTCTCTTCAAATCTGGCTCAAGGAATTACCAGTATGAATGTGTGACTGAGCTTCATCTGGTATTAGGCAACCATGGAGAAGGAAAGCTGAGAGAAAGCTTTTTATTTCCTCATTTCTTCAAACCACAATGTTTCTGCACTGAAATTTAAAAAAAATCCTCTGGCTTGGGTTTTATATGTGGGATTTTGTTTGGTTGGTTGGTTTTGAGGGGTTTTGTTTGTTTGTTTTTGTTTGGGGTTTGGTTTTTTTGTGTTTTGTTTTTGTTTTTTTTATTTTGTGGAAAATGTTCTTAAAAGTTCCAATCAATTCTACTTGGGCTCTTTGAGTCCTCTATAAACACTAACTCAGAGTAGATTTCATTCCACCTCTGACTTGCCACAGCCTGGACTGAAAGTGAAAGCAGTACAGAACAACTGTGACTGTATATGGCGTCGCACAGCATCCAGGTGTTGCCTAATCTGACAGTAAGACGAAGGTCAGGTCACTGGTTTTGGCAACAACAGTAAGAAAATTTAACCTTTCAACATAATAGTAATCAATGCAGTCAGACTTCTCTAGAAAGTTTGGACATGATCAGAACGCATTAAACCTTTCTACAGCACACTGGCTTCCTTTCCTATAGGCTTTTTTCTTTCACAGCAAATCTAAGTCAGCAGGAAATTAGGTGGGTTCAGACTCGGAGCCATTTTTTGGCACCATGCAGTCTTGTAAAGATGTAACTATAGGCCTGATATGAGGTTCACGAATAGTCTCTTAACTACAGGTCTGGTGACATTCAAGCAAGGCAGTCGGGTTACAAATAGCGCGGGTTATTAAATGCAACATATGCAGTTCTTTTGGATTGCTAATGATAAATGCATTTACTGCAGAACAGCTGTATATAAACTAACAATATGATTGCAATCACAAGCTTAATTTCCAGAGTGAAAACAATTGGTGTGGCCAAGGACGCAAGCCTTACCAAAAGGTGTCCCTTCTGGGAAGAATGGGGAGGATGAACACATAGATCTGTCCCTACAATTTTGTGTCAAACTCTCATCCCCCAGTTAGGTGGGAAATCAGGGTACATTCTATACCTTATTAACTGCTATTGTGCAAAGTGCTGTGGGTGGGACTGTGGTCAAACTGTCTGTTCTTTGTGGGAATATTTCTTGGTAGGAAAGTGTTCTTGGTAGCAGTTGTGCAAAAGCATCCATTCTTTGCAGTTGTGTTATACAGAATATTTCTTGATATCAAGCAGAAGAACGAGATCGTGCAGCTCCTGCCCCACTTCACATTCGTCCCTGGTGGGTGGCAACACAAACAACCCAACCTCCACCCAGTTTCAACACTGCACACTGAGCTTTGCATTTCTGCCCTGCTTTATGCTTCCAGCAGTCAGTGGTGGGAATATTTGCTCAAGCAGTGGGCAAGCTGAAGGGGCATGGAATAGGGAGGAGACAAAGAGGACCAGTAGTCCTCAAAAGAGCAAGAGCTGTAGGCAAGTTCACCCATGGCTGTGCCTTGGTCTTTTAATTCATGACAGTGCAAGCCACTCTGCTTTGGACTGAATACCTATTCTGAATTTACACCTCAAAAGAATAAAAAGAGTACCAAAATTATATAACTAGGATATTTTTAGGAAATGTGTTATTTCCATATTTTATTTTTATGAAAATGTGCAAGTATGAGGAGTCTTGAAATTCTGTGCTTGATGTACTGTAGTTGTATATTTATATATAAAACTATATTATGTAGCTGTACATATATATAAATATATATATAAACACAAACATCCCTAAAAGCACATAAATAATTGCAGCTTAAAATGCAGAATCCATTTTGTAGACTTATTTTGACTTAGAAAAACTGCTCGGGGCTCGTCTTATCCTTCTGTAACATAGTAAAGCTTTTTTAAACTCTTAATGACATGTTTAGATCTATTAACACTACATGAATGCTTTCTGCAGGCTATTCCCGCTGTCAGCAGGTTCCAGCTGATAGATGATGTTTTTGTCTTGACAAAGTAAGTATGTTTCGAATATGTCACAGAAAATGATTAAACAACATGATTGCATTCAGGATTGCTACTTCTGCTTCCTTCATTCCTATCCATATGTATCTCGTAAGAACAACTGCTTTGACAAAATGATGAGGGAATTATTTAATCCCTTCCTTTGTCAGTGCTAAGTGATTTATTTCAAAATTTCTTTTAACTTTTATTCCAGATCTTAGAAAATTATTTCAAATAATGGCACTGCCACGAGTTCTTTAGGGACTAACCTGTATTTGCTGTAACTCAAAAATGATTCCAAATGTAGATTCTGAATTTTCTATAATTTATTCTGGGCTATCTCAGCTATGCTGTTGTACTGCATCACTCTTAATACCTCATTCATTTCTCTTGCTGATGCATGACTTGGTTGTTCATGTCCGTGGTGCCAGAGAGGTCAGCAATATTGTAGGGAGCTGAAGAAGCATTAAGTGTATCTGTGCCTCAAACATACCAGAGATCCCAAAAGCATCAGATATCTGTGATGAGTGACCTCAGAGACAAGGTGGCCAAAGCATACTGCTCCCCTTCAGGTCCTGTGGAGGTAGCTCTGAAAGGAGGAAGTAAAAATTCCTATTCCTTCTCTCATACAAATGTCCTTTTTCATAAGAGAGCTCAAAACTAGTATTTAATTAGGAATGTAACTGTGAAGTATAGAAGTATCCTCAAATGTGTTTGGGGTTTTTTGTTTGTTTTTTTTTTCCACATAGGTTTGGATATGTTCAGATTGAAACAGCACTTGAATTAACAAAGTACCTTGCCAGAGAAGATGAACTCTTCATATGGAATATGGTATTGTTAAACCTAGTACCCAAGAATTTGGAAAGTACACTGAAGAACTACGAAGTGTATCCACTTTTAAAGGTATGACCTTTTTTGTTAGATAGCAAAGATACTAGATCATGTAAATACATCAGTCTAAAATTAATGCTTTTTAAATTCTCAAGAATGAAATGATGACTATGATGTGCCAGAATTCTTGTCATTCCTTTTGCATGATTTTGTCAAGTTGGTTTTTTTTTAATAGGAGGAGGTACTTAATTGTGTATGTTAGTCAGTTACAAGTATTGAGCAATTCTTAGCATAAAACAGAAATATATTTACATTCTTTACATTAAGCTTCATTCTTGGGTTTTGTAAAACTGAGAATCTGGAAAATACGGCTATCAGTATTAAGTGAAAGGACTAGCACTGCTGTGTATAAAGGGCATACAGTGTGTTTGTGCTCTGTGGTTTGAACTGCCTTTCAGCTCATCTTCATGGAGAGAAAGAAGGAATTGAGTTTGGATACTAAATGAGATGATTCTCTCCCATATTTGACTCCCTGAGGCGATACTGTCATATTAATTTCCTTGACTTATATTTGAAGATTTCACTTTTGTTTAAAGTACAATCCCACAGCATTAGTTCTCTTAAGTTCTAGAAAACAGAGGTAGGTTTAAAATACGTGAGACTAACAAAGTACTTCATATCGAGAAGGTTGTTTTTTTTTTCTCTGAGAATGAGTATTTGTTTTCTTTCTTAATGATGTCAAAGGTCCTAGTAATGTGAAATGGTAACTTGCCAGTTTGAATTGATGTACAGGTTTATTGAATTTTAGATCCACTTTTTAGTTTATTTTAATGTGCTGTATTGTCAGGAAATTAATAGTGGTAAATATTTAGCATAAATCTGAGTATATAAGAAACACAGAAAAATAAAAACTTGCATCTAAATGAAAGTAATTTTTCTTTCCCTTCTTTTAAAAGAAATACCTTTTAAAGAGAATGTTGCCAATATACCATTATTATGCAGGTTTTATTCATAAAAATATTGATGCTTTGGAAGATGACTATTTTGCTCAGTAAGTATTTTGCTTTTCTCAAAAGTTTGTTCTAGTGTGATTGGATCTGATGCATTGCAGTTTGCTTGTGTAAATTTAAATACAAGATACAAGAATAATTCTCTAATTAATGTGAACCTAGCTGACTTGTTATTTTTACTGTCCTACAAGTGTGTATTAATTATGATGACACCTCCAGTGAAACTGCAATATCAGAATAGGAGCATAAAAGATGATAGTTTAAGGATCTGAGTGGTAGCTTTTTGTTTATCAGAGAAGAGGCTCAGCAGGCTGCCACTAGTTGGAGCAAAACTGACAGCAGTGAACTTAAGATATGATTTATGGATCAATCACTAAAACTTTAAAATACTTCATTTCGCAAGGCCACTGCTGCCACAGGCTTGAATGTCAGAGTGATTTTCTTAAAACTAGCAAGGAAGATATAAACCACACAAAAAACTAAGAAAAAAATATAGTACGTCTGTTGCCTCACTAATATTCATTATATTAATGTCAGGAGTCCATTGTTGATTGTTTGATTATTTTATTAAACCTCAGCTGTTCCTAGTAGAGGTTCTCTTGGGTTAATGACATCATGTACTGAGACTGTGGTAGTCAAACACAGTTCAAGTACTCCAAATGTGGAATGCACACCTTTTATTCTTACTATTTTGGCTTCCTTTCAAGAGCATATTTGGAAAAACTTTTTGCAACAGCGTGCTGGCTGGGCCTCCAAGATTGTTTGGACCTGTCATCTGAACTGTATGCTAAGTGGATGGACAACCCGGATTACAAGTAAGAATGTTGATTTGTTCTTAGAGGTGTGCATGCCTAAGTGAGCTGGAAAGTTAAAGGGGGGAGGCAAAACCAGAAATGCCTTCGTACACTGCTCTTATTTCTTGACATAATGACAGAATTTAAGACTGTGTCCCCCCCAGCCCCCTTCTCTTCCCCAAATCCCAACTTTATGATGATTTCATAATTAGTGCTTTTTCCATAGACTTTACAGGCTGGAGGATGCAGATTTTGCCATGAAGACCAAAATCTGGTTAGCCATGTAACAGGTGAACCTCATATTACTGCTAAAATCCCATCTGGTCCAGTGCCTTTGCTGCAATACAGCCTTAGGCTTATCATGTATATCAACTCATCTTCTAAGCTTCTCTTTGCAATACTGAGTGAAATGGTGTTTGTACGATACAGGCATCCGCCCAGGGTGAGCCCACCAAATTGCCTTGCATGTTCTCTATTCAAGTAAAGAGGTGTTGGGAACAGCCGTCAGTTCTTATGTTGTTACTGGAGCCTAGTGGTCAGGTGCCTGGTCTGTAAGAGTGGAGTCTGGACTCCACCAGAAATAATCTTTCTGTATTCAAGTATTGCACGGTTAAAGAAGATTTACAGTATATTGAAATTCTTATTCTCTTTTCCTCCCTCTTTCTTTTGATGTCTTTCTATGCAATTGTCAAATAGTATTGGCACTGGTGAGTGAATATTTAAAGTCTATTTTTATTTGTTGTAGTTGTGATGAATATTTTGTTGTTATTTGCATCTCCATTGATATACGTAGCTGGCTAAGTAAACTGAACTTGTACTTTTATGTTTGTGTTTTTAAAATAGCTTCATAGTGATCATCCTCATAAAAACCCAAATGAGCTTTGCAGTTAGACCGAATATTTAAATAGCCTAAATACATTCTGTTACTTTCCAGAGAGAATATTCTTACTATTCCACACCAGAAGCAACAATATTATGCAGAATTCTCAATCTGTTTTCAAAATAGTCACTTATCTTCTCCTGTTAATAATATTTGAGGGTATTTTTCTGGTGGAATGCTACATACCTTATTTGTCTTGACGAGACAGTCTGTGAAATATTAATATATTGGGGTTTGAATTAGATGAAGAATATTAATTCTGGTGTCCTCCTTAGCACTGAGATAAGTTCAAAAGGACTTTACAGGTCTATAAGTGTGGAGAAAAATGCAACTCTGAATTTTGTTAAGTGAAAAAAAAAGATCATGTTTTAAGAAAAAAAAAAACAACAAGAGGAGATAGGACCCTCCTTAGATTTCAAGTGACAGGTCACAGTTACCATGGAGTTAAAAAGAGACTTCCATGTGCTGGATAGGAAAGGAAAAGGGCACAATACACTTTTGACTCATATTTCACAGACAGATCCCTTTAGATGCTTTAATGTTCTCCATTTTGAGAGCAAATTCATAATAGGACACTATAGCTGTTCTGCCAAAGGTGGAACCCAGTAGGATTTTCACATCTGTGGAAGGGAATAATGCTTTTCTGTTTTAAACTGTGTGATTGACTTTCAGCTAAACATCTCCAAACAGTTTCTGGCAGAACTTAACTGGACATGTTACAGTGCATTTTTATCTGTTTCATGAAAATAACAAGCCAAGAGCTGTGATTCCCAGCCAGTTTCTCAGTTTTACTCTTTTTTGTTTATAGTAGTGTAGTGGAACTTGCTTAATTAATGTTTTCTCAGTGGTGCTATTACTGGCTTGTCTTCTTCTGACAGAAGGAAATTAGCCTAGAGGGAGGGACAGTGTCGCTGTACATTTTATTTATTTACTAAAGGTTCCCATATTCTGCTGTCACCCTCAAAAGTTCAGAAATCACTACATCGCTTCTGCATTGGCTCCAAGAAAACAAAGTAAAATAACGTACCCTGCATTCCAGCAGCTTTTTGTATCTTCCCTAAGGTCCAGAAATGAGAGAATCCTGGCAGGCCAGTAATATCAAACCATACAATCACTCCCAGGAAAAATATCAAGATTAATAACTCACATCCTTCAAGCTCCAAAGTTCCTTTGTACTGTAGTGACTCTGCCTGGGAACTACACAACATAACCACTTCAGGGCCATCAGAGATGTCACCAGCCAGCAGACCATTGTTCCACAGCAGGCTGCATGTTCAGCCTGCCTTGAATGCTGAACATCAGAGCTACAGCCAAATGATACACAGAACTTGTCTATTTGCACTTGACTCACAACAACTTTACACTTAGTAACCAAAATTTTCCTGCAACTATTGGAATGGCTGCAGTTGCAAAATAAATAGATGCACTTTGGCCAATAGAGCTGTACTCTGTTATTACCTTACCGTGGCCCCTTACTGCAACATTATGAAATGATTATTGAACAAATGACTAGACCCTGTAACTCAAATAAGATCTGTCATAGAAGGATTCATCACAGGACTATTCTTTATCCTGTCATAACCACGCAATCTCAGTAAGCATCATTCTTGGTGGCAAACTCCTTATATTACAGCAACTATCTAGGTAAATGAATACAAAGTATTTTTTTAAATAAATATTAAATATGTCCCCACTTTCTGTTATTATGCCAGTGAGATCCCCCACCCACAACAGGACTACCAAAATCCCTGCATCTTGCATTTTCACTTCTTAACTAGTGATGTCTGTCATTCAAAACACCCAGCTCTCTCCCTCTTTCCCACTAGTCCTTCATTTCCAGAGTTTATAACTTCTTTTTGCTTTGAAGATTGGTTTCATATATCTGTCCATCTGGCTAACATTGGCTCTCTTTCTGCTGGCATCATCCTCATTTTCTCTAGGATGGTCTACTGAAACTCAGGAATTTTTCTCAAATTGTATTTAAATTTGAAATTCTTGTTTCAAATTTTGGGCCTGAAGACTGGCTTTTGTGACGAGAAGCTTGCTTGTTTTTCCAAGTGTATCTCCTGATGGAAGATAGTTTTTACACCTCTACTTACAATCTTGGTCTAATGTAATGATGAGCAGATTAACAATATGCTATTGAAAAGTTAAATGTTTTATTTGTAGCAATGGGAACTATTCTTCTACAGAGAATTAGTCCAAAATACCATTAGTTGAATCTGTTTTCAGATAGCCTGCAAAGTAGAATACTGAAGTCACTGGAAAGTGTTGACAATGTCTTAATGTCAGAGACACATCATCACCACAGCAGAAATTTTCTATTCAGCCTTTGTACATGGAGTATTACACTGATCACGTTTGCATTCAGTTTCTGTTGTGAAATTCATTGCCATGCTGAGGACTCTCCCCTGGGGTGGGAGTAATAGGGGACTGCCTGTTGCACGGAGAAATGTCCCTCTGTTTCCATTTGTGCTGCAAATGGACCTTCCTACTAGATGCATTCACTGAAGAAATTTTAAAAAGGCATGTCTGGGATGATGCCATTTCCTAGGCTGTGATGGGAAAAAAAAATAGCTTGGTTCAACTGTCCTAAAAAATGTGGGGTGTTTTGGTTTTCCTTTAAACTGCATGCTTTTTCAGTGCTTAAATAGTGAAAAAAGCAATCAAATTTCCCATCTTTATTTACATTGTTATTTTATATTTTCATTCATGTCTATCTTTTAACTGTAAATGAACATTTGCTTTCCATTATGCATTAACAACTGGTTTTGCCTCTACAACAGTACAATACCTTTTAATCTTACTTTGCCTTGCAGAATTCCCTTTTTAATTAGAGGAACAGTGTGCTGCTATGGTGTTGCTCTGGGAAGCGCTAAAGAATGGAACTTTGCATGGGAAATGTATACCCATACTGACTCCACAGAGGACGATAAAGACATCCTGCTCTCTGCCATGAGCTGTGCCAAAGAGTCATGGTTACTTTACAGGTGACCCTGATCAAAGCATATCTCTGTGTATGTAGAAGTGAATAATAAGAACATAAGTACTGTGCTGTGCAAACCTGACGGAGGTTTGTCTGCCTCAGAAGTACGTGTCTTGTTGACCACTGGAAGAATCATAAGTTTTCTTATGGAGCAAGTATAATAAACAGGGCAAACACAAATAAATGATCCTTCTGCAGATGCAACAGCGGTGTCATGTTCAGCACTGGGCCTGTCTTCTGTCAATATATCTAGTGACCTTTTTGAACTAAAATGAGTTATTTTGTGTTGGTTTTTAACTTGGAACCCATGGGCTGCCCACACCCTATGCACCATAAGAAACAGTAATTATAATTTGCTCTGACATTTTCCTTATCATTTATGATTTTACATAATTTTCCCAAACTCCTTCACTCCTGCTTATTTTGTTTCCAAACGGAAGTGTCATAGCCTGTTAGCCTCTGTGCAGAATCAAATTCACCCAGGTTAAAGGCAAAAGTGCAAAAAGACTTATTAGCAAGCTTTTCACCATTTGAAGTGCAAATTCAACTGAAAAGTAGTGGGTTTTTAAATTTCCAGCTTCACAGAGTGATAGAATCATGTGATATGCTGAGTTGGAAGGGATCCATGTGGGTCATCAAGTCTACCTCCTCTGACTCCATGTGGGGCAACCAAAAAGTTAAGACAAATATTGAAGAGTCTTGCCCAAATGCTTCCGGAACACAGTTTGGAATACAGTGTTAATTTTCTTTTACTGACATCCATATCTTTATCAGTAAAAATATGTTGACGTTGAATTCTCTGTCATGTTTACATTACCTAAAGCATTTGTTAAAAGATGCAAATTTGGCCATGCAGTAATGATGATCATCCAAGAGTTTACATGAATTCCATGGGTCTAAAGCTCTGGAAGTAGCAGAGATTTTACTCCTTCCAGCCACCTGCTCTAGTGATGGTGGTCATTTGAAAAGACAGAAAAAATATGCCTGAGAATAACGCAAGAAGTGTTGCAAAGAGATATCCAATCAGCTACGCTGATTTCCCCTCTAACCTTCATTATAACCCTTCATTATGTTAAACATAGTGGTGGCATGCAAATGGGAGAAACCCAACTCAACTACTATACTCATAAAGCAGCTGCCTGCAAGACCTTATGAGAAGAATAACTCTAGAAGTGTTCCTTTGAAAATAGGAGCATGAAAGGTGTGAAAGACTGAGGCAACAAAGAAAATACTTACTTACCTTCTCAAGATATTCAAGCAGTCACTGCCACTGACATCACTGGCTGGTAGTTCTTAAAATACTTCTGGAACCCTACCTTAACCCCCATGAAAAAGCTTCTTCCTGGGTCTTGTTGTAGGGAACCCTTATAAACAGGTCACCTCTGTGTAACAGTGTGTCTCACTGCTGCCATACTCTCTAGGCTCCACCTGTGTCACAGCAAAGTGAATCTCCTGAAAGCGAGAAGCAGTTTGCCCTTCTTTGGCTTGTCTGGTAGGAGCAGTTGCCTCTCTGTAACAAAGATAAGAAATGCCTGTATGCCCACGTGGTATGCTATGCCCTCACTTTACTAAGACGTGAAGAGTTAGTGTGCAAGAATGGGATTTCACCAATGTTAAGGACAAAATCCAAGTTGAATACACAGCTCAGAGTGACACCAACTTTGGTATAACCTTCCACATGCTAATATTTTTTGAGATATATTTCCAGATCATTGGCATGATCAGCAGCAAGTGACTGGTGCATTTCTTACCTCCTTTTCTATCAGATACTTGCAATATGGACTCAGTGATACATTATTTTCTTCTAACTGTACTTCAACCGTCATCTTAAATGTGGTGGCTAAGGATATTGGGCATCGTATGGCCTGGGAATTTGTTACTGAAAATTGGCCACTTTTAAGTGAAAGGTAAGTAACCAGCTTTGGCTTCCTTTTATTTCTGTGGCCCTTTGGCTTCTTCCTCCATCTTTACGTTTAAGCTGTAAGATTCAGGTGCAGATTTTCCTTCCACAGGTGGCGATTTGTAATGATTGATTCAATTTCTAAAGTGTGCAGAACAGAGTTTTCAGAGGATTCAACTATGATCACGGCTTAATGTCAAAGAAGAGTTCATGTCAAACATAGAACACTTTAAAAATTAGTCTGTTCATGACTGTTTCAGTGCTTTTAAGTGTTAGATTTCTTGGAAACTCTGACTCTAGAAATGGGTTTATCTACTAGCATTTCACAAGCATGGGTGTAAAATGATGGAATAAGATCATAACCTCTTTTCCAAAGAAAGTAGGGATAGATGGGGGATTAGAGCATGCAGGTTTGCAAGCACTGGTAGGACAAACTACAATATTATTCCCTGACTTAAGTCCTAATCCACCTCCAGCCTACCTGCACTGCTGCAGGTAAACTGGAGGTGAGGTTGGGCTACCTGTCTTGAGCAAAGCAAGTATTCTGATGTCTGTTTGAAGACTTCCTTTCTCCTTGGCACTGGTGAAAAGCAGTAGGGCTGTGACAGAGTACATTCCAGCTGCTTGATAGCAGAGGAGGTCATTGGGATCCATTAGTCGCAGCACAACCAAAACCAGCCATTTTGTACATTCAAATGTGTAACTTTATTGCTAACACTAGAAAAGGCAAGCTGTAGCAGATTTGCATCATACCAACAAAGCTTTTCTGTATTGATGAAAAATTTGCTGGGAAATTGACCCATTATTTTCAAACTAAAAGAATAGTGCGAGTGTTTATTTATACACCATCCTCAGATACCAACAGAAACACAAACTCGTTAGAATCAGTACTGCTTAGCCTTTCTAGCTCAGTTTGGCTGTGTGGGTTCACAAAGATTATCTGTTTTGGGCAAAGAATTCATGTCACTAAAGTAAAAATACCAGATCTTACTGGGAAATGGAAATGAAGGATAATTATTGTGCTTCATCCTGCTCAAATGTCTAAATTGAACGTTAATGGTATTTCTTTAAAAGGGAAAAAGAGCACACAATTACAAAGTTCAGCTTAGTTGGTATTTGCAACATAGTGAATAATCACTAACTAGTGTAAGTATTTTCAAATGAGATGAAATTTAGTATATTTGCTAGCATGCTGTTTGAAGGACCTTTATCTCAATTTTACAGATATGGGCAGGAATTGTTGCATGATGTATTAAAAGTCATGGGAAGATTTGTCAATACAGATCTACAGATCCAAGAGGTAAACCAGAGAAGCTTTATTGCCAGTTTTAACTTTATTGCTAGTTTGTAAATACAGGTTTTTACATCTCTTGTTTTTTAAAGAAATCATAAGACATAATTTTGATGTGTTCCAAACCTTCAGGTTTGGAGCTGAGTCCCAATAAATTCTATCAAAACTGTCTCATTTTTCTCTATAAAATCTATCTGTAGAGATAACCTTTGCCATGATGTCTACAGAAAATGTACCAAAGTTGGGCTGCTGGCACATTAGGTTGTCATACTGGCATCTGTTTAATTTCTCATATTGTTTGTTCACCGTTCCCCCCCTATATTTCTTCACTATTTTTCAGTACTCTCTTTTCTTTTGCTTATTAGACTGATGGGAAAGATTTCTTGTTCTGTGAATGTAAAACAGGCAGCACAAGAGGATTCTGCTACCCAACTAGTCCTAGACAGTGTGGTACCACCAGTACCAGTGAAGTTGGCTGCATTTGAAAGGATTTTTAGAGGAACAGCAAAAGGGCACATTCTTGATATGTAAGGAGCTTTCCAACCTTAGTGTAAAACAGTAAGCTTGCCCCATCCCCTCTTTAGTCTCTGTTATCTCCTTCTTTTCTTGCACTTCTGTCTAAAGCATCTGCCAGGCACTCAGTTGCTTGCTGCAAGTGAAGTTATGTGAACTAAGCTCATGCATTTATTCCTTCAGTTGCAAGTTTTTTATAATGCTACGCTGGAAGAGGACGAGAGAGAGGCTACTACTCTGCTACTGGAATCTACAAAATCTGAAAATATTGAAAGGAAAAAATTACTAATCAAAGTTGCCAGCTGGTTAGAGAAAAATGCGGACGATTGACTTGGAAAACAATTTCCAGTATATTTTAGAGTGTGATTCAGTATCATCTTAGTATTCATTTTAAGCTGTAATTAAAGATAAAGCACATTTTTATGAGTCTCATGGTTGTTTTCTCATCTGAAAAGTCAGGCTAAAATAATTCACATAGAAAAGAAAGATTCAGCAAAAGAAAGTATAAACATATTTGCATATTATATCTAAATTAATTTCCTACTGGATGAGATTTAGTAGGGATGCATTGCTAATGATGATCTAATGTACAGATACAGTTCTAAATTCTTCATTTTTTCTCAATATCCAAATGAAAGGTGTGGTACAAGTTGGTGGCAAAAACACATGAGGAAGATGGAAAAGGTTATATTCCGTATTTCTGCTGAGCACGCAGGTTTGGAGAGTGGCAACTGGGAAATGCAGCAAGGGAAGGAGAGGTGCATGGGAGGAATCCAGGACAAGCTGGGAAAGCTACTTTATTGCAAAGAGAGTTGGAATGAAAGGAAGTTCATTGAAAATGAGTATGAGGACATGGATGGGACTCCAGGAAATGAACTTTAATAGTACCTATGAGGTCTGTGCTATGGGAGGTAATTGTGAAGATGTGCGTGTACAGGGCGATTTCCAGTGAAAAAAGCTGTGTCACTGATAGACAGGATGCATCCAGTAGGCCCTGGGGGGGGAAATACATTTGATGAAAAAAGACCAGCTTTTTGCCTTAAGTCCTGCTCTCTGCCTTGAGAGGGTGGAAGTCAAAATTTACACTTGTTCTTCCTTTACTGCATTCATGTGTGACAGGGCAGCATACTTCGGAGCTGGCAACAATGCATGCCAAGCAGTTCCCAGTAGAAACAGAGACTTAGAGCTGTTTAAGACAAGGTTCAAGGGTACCAGCCGACTTCTCCTCTGCACCTCCTGGCATAGTTGCCCTGCTGCCCCATTCTGCCTGCATCTCCTTTCAATCCTGGCACCCCAAGAAGCCTCCCAGGCAGATGAGGAGAAAGCAGCTAGTTGTGGGACCTAGGTGGCCAAAGTGCAAGCCCCATGTCTCCTGGCTGCATGATGGCATGCATGGATGAGGTGGGTGGAGCAGCTTTTTGCTTCTTTCAGGGTTGTTCCAAATCCCAGAAGGGTCAGTATGAGGTAGGCAAAAGGAATGGGGACTAAAATGCCATAAAATGAAAGGAGATGTGGCCTTGCCACATTTCTGCTTTGCAGTGGCTCACAAAATACAAAAAATGCTGTCATCTCTGCATCCCCTGGCCCAAAGGTGCAGGGGGTCCTCTGGAGCCAGGTGCAATGGATGGATCCAACCCCTTGGCCAAACTAATGGTAGTTTGGTTCAGGCTCCAAAGGCAGGAAAGGTGTAGACCATAACTTGGCTAAGAACATCCCTAGTGTCAAGCTGTTCTCTGATAGCCCATGCAGGAACAGGGTGACATGGTGGACGTTGATGCATTCGAGCTTGGAAACTGGAACACCCAATATGTGACTAACAAAATAGCAGGTGGTTCTTCCAAGACTCATTTGTCAAGGAACACAGGGAACTGTAGGTACAAGGAGTCTTAGAGTTACCTTTTCCATCACCTGTAATTTGGCTGTGAGCCAACTGCTTTATTCCATAAATATTACAGCTTAAGAGAGCCTTCTCTGACCTCTCCCTGCTAAGCAGTTTGCTGCATGGGGTGATCTGCCTTGGAGGTGGGACACCTCTCAGGTTGCTTCTAGAGGCCAAAACACCCTTTACCAACCGCTTTGGTAAAATGACCAATATAGTGCACAACCCTGTATTATAGCACACTTAAGATTTTGCATTGGTAACTTTGAATCATAACTCTGTGCAGTAAATAACAGAATGAAACTTGCCATTTGTTAAGTTTTACTTTTACAATATCTTAGTTCAATAAAATCACTACTGCTGGTACCTTTGGCAATGGTTCTTTAAGTGGTCAAAATCTTCCCCATGACATAAGGACAGTGGGTCCCGGTCTTTTGGGGGTTGTTGTCTGTCATTCTTTGTGATGGGATTTATGAGACAAGGACATGAGTGGGGATGGGCAGGCTGACTTTGGCTGCCTGTGAAATACCCATCCTGATGCTCTCCCACTCCTGAACAGGATGCAGGGAGAAAATGAGGTGAAATAGCTCATGTATGGAGACAAAAGGCAGGGAGATAACTTACCGATTACCATCAGGGGCATGTTGTGGTTTGGAAATGGTACTCCCCAATTTAGTACTCCCACTGAGACTCTCCAAGCCATGCGCCACTCACTCATTCCCTGTTCTCCCTCCCCTTCCCACTGCAGTTGGCTGGTGAGGAGAGCTGGAGGCACAAAAAGGTGAGCTAAAAACAATTTACTGGAAACAGCAGTGAGATAAAAATACCAAACAGTAACAGCAGCAATACTAACAACAGGGGGTACAAGAAAGAGGCGAAAAGACACGGGATTGCTCCCTCTGCCTTGCTACACTAACTCAGAAGGGACTCCCTTTTCCGTTGCCCCCCTTGTGAGGTGGTATAAAATAACATCGGGGTCCTGGCCATGCCAGGGGTCCTGGCTACTGCAAAAATTACCTTGTTAATGGCTGGAACCAGGCCTATTAAAATAGATGTCTAGTATTTCTGGCCTATTAAAATAGACTTCGATAGTAAGAAACCAAACCAAAAATTAAAACATCGCCATTCCCCACACATTCCCTTTTTCCCAGGCTCATCTTCATTCCCAACTCTTCCACTTCTTCCTGTGGAGCAGCCCAGCGAGAAGAAGGAACGGGGGCTGGGGTCAGTCCATAACCACTCCTCGCTCGCACTCCGTCCCGCTCCTCACGCTGTTTTCCTGCTCCAGGGTCCCTCCTACAGGCCGCAGTTCCTCCAACGAACACCATCCACCTGCTCGGCCCTGCGAGCCCCCGCCCCGGTCACTCACCTCGGCGCTCGCACCGTTGTTCCTCCCTTTGCGGTTTCCCCCTCGCCCCCCTGCCCGCCCGGCGGTTTTGCCGTTTCCCCAGCGGGTTTTCTGCGGGGCGCCGCCGGCTCGGCTGACGGCTCAGGCCGCGCAGAGCGGAGAGTGCGCCAAGAGGCAGCGCTGGGGCCGCTCCACAAGGTGCGAGGAACACCGGGGAAAGCCGGGAAGGAGCGGCGAGGCAGGCGAGTGCGGGCGGAGCGTGTGCGAGCCGAGAGCGCCAGCGGCCCCCCGCGGCCGGGACGGAGCAGGGAAGGGCGGGGATCCCGCCCGGGGACCGCCCTGGTCCCGGTGGCAGCAGCGCTGTGGGGTGAGGGAGGTAGGAACGTGCCCCCGCTGCCGAGGCAGCTCTGTGGACACGGGCCATGGGGGTGATAAAACCGCAGCTCTGCTGTGGGCTCAGCCACACGGCGCGGGTCGGTGGGAGCGGCTGCGTTTGCCTGAGGGAGACACGGAGCCGGGCGAGGCACGGGGGGGAGCATTAACAGCGTTCTCTGGAGAAGGGGGATTTTTTTTCTGCCCCTTGTGCCTCACACAAGCCTTCCACACCCTCCTCTCCTCGCCATCTCGGCTACTGAAATCACCTCCCGCACTTCGTGTGCTTTTTCCCCGTCTGTTCCGCCCCTTGCCCACGGCCCGCAGGGGCTGTTGCTGATTTGAAAGAAAAACAAAGGAAGAGACAAGAGGCAGAAATACCTGATAAACTCAATTGTTTGGAAAAAATGAGGATGAGATGAGAAGGGGGCAAATTAGCTATCAAATTGTGAGGATCACCAGCTGTGGCCTCACGCTGTGTCAACATTGTAACAACGAAATCATAGAACTCCAAGGAACTGTTTTCCAGTGCGACAATAACATCACAGGTTAATTTTTTACACCGAAAAATGTGGTGTTTTTCTCTTCAGCTGCCCCATTTGTCTGGCTGCAGGAAGCTCAACAGAAATTCGACACATCTGCTCCCCCCTTTTCCCATCTCCCTTCCCACCAGTTGGGATATTTGTATTATATCTACCCATGTGAATTCACAGCCACGCGCTCATGGTGGGGAAGACTTGTCCCTGTAGGAACCCCACCAGCAGAATCAAGCTCTCTAAATGTCACCTAAGATTTTAATCCTTGTACATGTAGCCTAACACCCACCCAGTAAAAGCTACTTTGAGCTGATTGAAGGCTGTGTGTTATCATGTATGCCATGATAAACAAATATGACTCATGCACAAACAATTCAGGAAAAGGTCAGATACACGTGTACTTAGTAAAATGGAAGAAAATATTAAGCATAAGATAGTTTAATTGTAACGCATGTACCGATAGAGTTAATTCCTTTTTCTCCCTCATGTAGAATATGAAGAAATCAGAACCTTGGAAGAATATATGATAGTAAAAGCGGTTGTAGGGTTTTTGGTTTTTGCTTGTTGTTTGTATGAGTACCTTGGAGATTGTGATTTTTTTTTCTCTTGAGGGATTTCTGTTTCTTTTTCACAGCAAAAAAACCCCAACAAACTGTGGAACAAAATGAAGGAGTGTTTAGTAGCATTTATATCACCTAACTAAGTTCTGTTGCTAGAATGCTACATCAGCTTTTGGTTTTAAAAGTTCTTGAAGGGAAAGAAAGTAGTATTGTAAATAATAAATCTCTTGCTCTCGGACTGAGTTGTGAAATACCTCAGGGAATCGGTGGATACAGCTGATGAAGACAAAAAGACATGCTGGACTATTTGTCTAAGCCACAACAGGAGAGTTTATATGACTTGACAATTTTAGGTGCTTATTAGGATTAAGGTGTGTTCTAGAGAAGCATAATGAGAGCCATTAGTGATTGTAGGATGCTGAAAATTGGCATCTAGAGGGATCAGGAGGAGACTGAGTTGTCTGCACTAACGCAACAAATAAACTGGAAAGGCAGCAAGCTGAACCATGAGGTTGCATGTCACTTTAGTTATCGGGGAGTGTGTTTATATATTGACTTTTGGAAACAGTGAATAGAATCCAGAACATTTTGTCAAGAATGGTAAAACATTTCTTTACTTCATCCATGTTCTAAAAATATCTCTTTTTTTAAAAAAAAACCTTAAAATGAAAAAAATGCAGTGGTTTATTACAGTTTTTTTTTTACTTAGCTCTAAGGGGGAAAAAAGGCGCTAAGAAATACATTTGCTCTATTTTTCACAGATGCAAATGAGAAATGAGGACTCATTCCAGTTTACAGAATTTCTCTATTTCCATTCTTTGTGCTAAGTACTATTTACATGCCATAATTAATGAGACAGAAAGTGTGAGGTCCTATAAGACAGTTACCTGGTATTGTCTTCAGCCTTCTTCTCTGGGGAGCTCTAGTTTGATTATTTGTCTTCTGTTTCAGTCACTCTGGGACTGATTGTGCAGCAGTAAATCTACACTGTGCCATCCCCTCTCCTTGGTAAGTACAATTTAAAATTATGGAGAACCTCCTATCTCTCATGTTGGCTGCTCTGAACTGAATATACACCCTTCAGAACTGCATATTTTCAGAAGGTAAGTCTGGCAGGTCTCTTCTGCCTCTTGCATGACAATCAGAAGATGCAAATGATGTTATAATTAACTCTTACACTTCAGCTACAGGATCCTTCACAGATACAGCAGAAAGTCTCTGGGTTTGAGAGGGAGAACTCAGGAGGATTTGTCTTATTTTACTGGGGGAGGGATGTATTTGCTCCTCTGGATCCTGTCACACAATAGGCCATTGCTCTGTCACCATGTTTGTCAGTTTTTAGGGAAACTAGCTGAGTTATAAGGGATGAGACCCATTTCTTCATCTAATCTGTGTTTCCTAGCTCACTTCAAGGCTGTCTTCTAAACATACATGCACATTTGGGGCTTGAGAGAAGGCACAGACTAGATGGTAAATGGTCTTTCCACGTCTTTACAGCTTAGTTGATCCTAAGAAAGATTAATTTATTCCCATTCCTAATTTGAGTGGCACAAGATGGCCTATAGAAATTCCAAGATGTGTACTTGAATGTGCCACAAACCTGAGTGCTGCTTCCTGAGCCCACAGACATCTCTGCAGAACTAGGCTGTGAGGAAGATGGGACTGCTGCAATAGGCCAGTTAAATCCATGTGGGAATAGGGAGATTAAAACCACAGGGACTGCATCTTATCTTGCACTGGTGAAGGTGATGAACGTGCTTTCATATCTCAGATGGAACCGCTCCAATGGCACAAACAAATATAACTTGAAAACAATGTGCATTCACTCTGGCAAGCCCTGCAGAGACACTAGCTTAAGGCTGCTGATATCAGGCAGCTTGAAGTGTCTAGTATGCAAGTCACCACATTTTATATTTCCCAGAATATTCTGTGTTGGAAGGGATCCACTCATCAGCTGAAATATTTAGCTGTGTAATCTGCAAGGATCATAAATAGAATATTAAATCCTTGAAAGAGCAGATACAGGAAAATATTTCTTATATGAGAATCACAAACAAATGCAGTTCCTTCCAAATCCCAACATCTTCTGAATCTGTTCTCTGAGCAGAAACATCTGTGTCATGGGTAAGACTCTTTTAATACAGCACAGATTCTGATTTTCTTCCTTCCTTAATCTACTTTTAGCCTTGTCAGCTGTTTCAAGGCTCTGCTGAAATTGCCGGTTCTTAGCCATATGCTGTAGCCACAGTGGGATATTGAGCTGTGGATGATCACCTCCAAGAAGTACTTACTGTACGCAAAAAGCGTGGGAGAACACAGGTTTTGGTGGAGAAACAGTGCACTTGATGCTTGTCCTCAGAGTTGAAATTATTATGGAAGAGATGAGTGTCAAATGCATTGCCCCTGGATTATCAGTACAGTCAAACCAAAAGCAGTAGATAAAACCCCTCTGTTTCAGGGCCAAGAATATTTTCCTTTGGATAATCAGGTTCTGCAAACGTGATAGTGGATGTCTGAGTCTCCCTCATTTCCCTATCCCCCTTCAGAACACACTACGGAAGGTAATTAGTC